ACTATTATTGTGATATCATTGCCCACAGGTTTCCTAACCTATCCGCCAACATAAACCCGAAGAACTTATTCTAGGTTTGTCCCTTGGGAATCTACCCTATACTAACTATCTAGTGTACGGTTCGTCACAAGTATTTATTTAGGCTTTATTAGTTTTATTATTTTATTTAAGGCTTTTTTTATTTCTTTTTTATTTTTTTTTAAAATAATAATATACTTTTTTATAGCCTAGCTTACTATAAAAATAATATTTTCCTTTAAACTTAATTATTTTAATAATATTAAAGTTTATTTATTTTAATTAAGTTTTATTATTTTTTATAATATATTTTTTTTATTTCTTACTTTAGTTTATATAATATTAAAATTTCTATTATAAGGTTAATTAATAGCTATATTTTTTTAATTTATATTTTTAGCTTTTTTTAAAGTTATAGTTATTAATATTAATAACCTTTTAAATATATTTAATAAATTTAATTTTACTTTAATTTTCTTTAAATAATTTATCTTTAACTTTAAACTTAATACTATTATAATAAATTTCTTTTTTTATTTCTTTAATTTAATTAACTTTAGTAAATAAGTATAAAAAAGTAATAATATATTTAAATAAAACTTCTTTTTATTATAAAAACCTAAGTTTTATTTTTACTTTTTATTTTTTATTTATAATTTTAAAGGATTTTTTTAATTAATTTTTAAAGGTTTTATAATTATTAAAAATTTTACTTATTTAAATTTTTATTTTAGTAAATTCTTCCTTTATAATATTATAGTTTATTAAAATAAACCTAAACTATTTAACAGTAGTTTTTATAAAGCAGTTAACTATAAAAAAAATTTAATTTTTATTATTTTTTAAATTAATTAAAAAATAGCTAAAATAAATATTTAATTTAATAAAAAATTTATTTTAGTTTATTATATATTAATAACTTTTATTTAAATAATTACTAAACCTATAGATAATAATATTTTTTTTTTTTTTTATTTTTTAATTAATCTTTTAGCTTTTTAATTTATAAAAAAAGTAAATTAATTATTATTTACTTTAAAGTAAATAATAAATATTATTCTTAAGTTTCTTTATATATAAAAGTAATTTTTTATTAACTATTGCCTGCTATATTTTTATTATTATCTATAGGTTTAGTAATTATTTAAATAAAAGTTATTAATATATAATAAACTATATATTAAATAGTTAATATAAAGTAAATTCTTAAAAAATAAATCTAAAATAAATTCTTTAGGTTTATATTAAAGAATAAGTTAAAAAACCTATAGGTAATAATATTATAATAATAATTATTAATAAAGATTAAAAATATTATTTAATTTATAGGTATAAAACTATATTAATAACTAGCTATTTAAGTTATTTAAAAAAAGTATAAAAAGTAAATTTATATATTTAATTAACTAAATGTCTTTAATATATTTAATAGTTAAGTTTATTAAGTTATATTTAATATATGTCAGGCGACAAAGAAGCTGGGATATAACTAGCTAGAAACTAGCTATCGTCCTCCAAGTTCAAATAGATATTCCATGCCGTGCTGATAAACTTTAAGTCTTCAGCCGAGGATACAGGATAGAAGGCCTGATGCAACTAGCTAGAAGCTAATTGCTATAAAGAAAGAAGGTATAAAAGGAAAGGACTTTCTTTTGTAAAAACAAAGAAAGGGCAGAGATAAATATAGTCTTTTGATAATACCTAGCAGCTATCCAGCAATAAAAATGCACCTAGCCCCACTTAATCCTCTATTACTCTTCTTGCAAGACCCGGATTGTAACAATATACTTAATAATAAATTCTATTAAATAGTCTATAATTAGTTAATGGATTAAAGTTAATTTATTTATGCTTACCCAGTAGGTTTATTATTGTAACCTTAAGTATTAGGTTGTAATAGATTTTAAAATAACTATTTTAAAAAATTAATATTATTAGATAGCTTTTTATATAAGGCAGTATAAATTATTATAAGATTTTAATATTATATACTAAAGAATATATATTAAAAAAATATTTTTTTTAATTTTTTATTTAAAATACTTTATATATTTATAAATAATATAGTTAATTTAATTAATTTAATAATATAATAAATATATTAAGTTAATATAATTATATCTTTTAATTATTTTTTTATAATTAAAGCCTTAAATAAGTATTTAATTAATAATAATAGCTTTAATAATATACTAGGTTTCTAAAGTTTACTTTTATAAATTATTTAAATAAATATATAATATTATAAGGGTGTTTTTTATATTTGCGCTTGCTTTATATATAATATTATATTAAAATAAATTAAGTAATATAATTTTAAAAGTAAAATACTTATACTATTATATAATATTTTTTATTTTTTTTAAAGTAATATTTATAATTATATTATTTATTATTTTTATTATTTTCTAAAGCAATGCTTTTAATTAAGTTTACTAGATTTATAAAATTAACTTAAAAAATAAATTATTAATTAAGGATTTTATTATTAGCTTTTTTATTTAATATTTAAAAATAATTTAAAAGTTTAAATATAAATTTATAAAAGTTATAGTTATTATTATTTTTAAAACATTTTAATTATTTTAATAAATAAATAGTTTTATTATTTTTATTTATAATATATATTACTTTTAGTTTAAAAATTATAAATTTTTTTTTTTTTAAAAATCTATAGTTTTTTGCTATATAGTTTAACTTTTTATAATTATAATATTTAAAATTTTTTTTTTTTATATTATATTAAGGTTTATAGGTTTAACTATATTATTATTATCTTTAATAATTAGTTTTTATTATTTTTTACCTTAAGTTAATTATTTTTTACTAAAGCTTTAATTTTCTATATTAAGTTTATAAAGTAAATTATTAACTTTAATATATTCTTTTATAAAAAAAATATAATTATATTTAATTTAATTTTTATTATAAACTTTTTCTTTAATACTTTTTTTAAATTTATTATAAAATTATTTAATAAAAGTAAATTATTTTTATTTAACTTTAAAGGTTAAGTTTTTAAATTTTATAATATAATTAAAATATTTTTTTTTTAATAAATATTTATAAGTTTATTTTTAATTATATAAATTTTTTTAATATTTTTAAATACTTTAATAAATTCTTTTTTAAATTATTTAAAGCTATTAAAAACTTTTTAAACTTAAGTTAATAAAAGTTTTTTTAAATTATTAAAGTAAGCATTTTATATTAAATAAAACTATTTAAAAGTAGTTTTTTTAAAGCAAGAAGCTATAAAAATTTTTTTTTTATATTTTATATTAAAAATAATTTTAAAATCTTTAAAGTAAGCCTTAAGTTAAATTTAAAAAAAATAAAGTTTATTAATTTTATTATTAAATATAAATAAAAGTTATTATTTAATAAATATTTTTATATTTTTTTAATAAACTTTTTATTATTAAGTTTATTTATAAAAATTTTATTTAATTTATATATATTTTTTATTAATTTAATAACTTTAATATTATTTATATTTTTTTAATTAAAAGTTTTTTTTATAATAATATTTTTATTATTATTTTAAATAAAAAAAAAAGTTTTTTTTAAAGTAAATTAGCCTTTAATATTATTTTAAAATATAATAGTTTAATTATTTATAAAATTTAAAGTATTTTTTTAAATAAATATTATTAATATATAATATTTTAATTTTATATTTAATATAAAATAATTAATTTTTAAAAAATAAACTTTTAATATTAGGCTTATATTAATAAAAAAATATAAAAGATTTTATAAATAATTTTAATTATATAGCTAATAACTTTAAATAAAAGTTTAATTTAATTATTATATAAATACTATATTAATAATTAATTATTTAAGCTATATTTAATAAATATAATAAATAGTCTTATATAGTAAGTTATTTTAAAAAGCTTATGATTTTAATTATAATCCTTCTAGGGTAGCTTACTTTAGTGTTTATAATCCATCAGGGGTGGCTTATGATTTTATAAGTAATCCCCTTCTAATTGGCCTGTTAATCTGTAGTTTATCTATAGGTATGTATCTTATGGTTGTTGGGTTGTAACAGTTATCTAGCTAGATCAAGGTCATCCCGTTCGATCAAGGTCATCCCGTTCGATCAAGGTTATCTAGCTAGATCAAGGTCATCCCGTTCAATCACGGTCATCCTGTTTAATTAAGGTCATCCCGTTTAATCAAGGTCATCTAGCTAGATCAAGGTCATCCGGCTTATAAGTGGTTATACTGCCTAAAAATTAACGCAAATTTCAGCCTTGTAGCCTTCTATAAAACGCTGTAATTTAAATAAATACAGTATTGACACTGTGCATACACTGTATGGTTTCTAATTTCTAATTTTTATGGTTTTTAAAAAATTGGAGTTTTTGCACTCTTGTACACTTTGCCTAAGGTGCCACCGTATGCAGAAATAAATTTTATTGAATTTGAAAATTAAAAGCAAAAGTTATTTATTATCCGAAGATATTTCTCTTAGGAGCGTTTTATAACTGACTTAGATTATTTTAACATGTCAAGTCCATGGACCTGAAAAAATACTACTTACTCAATATCCAATAGTTTCCAAATACTTTAGGCAGTTCACCGATAGTATAGCAAATATAATAATTTATTGTATTTAGTTAATCCCTAAATTTAAAAGCCATCTTTATAATAATAATATAGCTTAAAAAAAGCAGCGCCTAAAGCTCTTAAGAGCATACAGTAGCTGGTTGGCCAGGTCGTGCAAGACCATGGATACATGGCTGTTTAAATTAGCACCTCGCTGTGAAAATCAAGTGTAATAAACACTTACATTATTAAATTTAGTGCAGGGAAATTCTTCATCGCAAGGAAATCCAGTCCCTGCAATAAAGCAGGTGCCTGGACCACTGCCTCCTACTGGGGGAGGAGTGCAGTTACCGCCGCTTTGGCCATGAACAGCCATACTAAATAGTCCAACAACAATAATAAAGAACTTCATAATAGTAATAATAGTTATAAACCTGTTGTAATAATCTAGCTGAAGTGTAATTTGAATTTTGGGGAGAAGATTTAACTGTATATTTATATATATGTGTAAATTAATTATAGAGTTTTTTTAATTAGTTATATATATTTTATAATAGTTTTATAATATTTAACATATGATATATATTTTATAATAGTTTTATAATATTTGATATATGATATATATTCTATATTTTCCTAAGATTAGTTATTGTATTTGTTGTAGTAGTATATATTGATTGTTATTATAATATATATCGTATGTTATTGTAATATATCATATGTTATTGTAATACATCATATGTTATTGTAATATATGTCGTATGTTATTGTTGTGCGGGGTAAGTGACTTACATCTTGTGACACATTTATTTATTGAAAGTGTAGATCTATACCTATTTCATTTATTGTACAGATTGTAAGACTTACACCACCTATTCAGTTTTCCTATTCTATAAGATTATTGTTATAAATTACTTAAGCAGCAGGGAAGAGAAAGCCCTAAATCAATAGACAGTAGAGGAAAGGAAATCTGGAGGACAAGTAAGAAGGCAAGCTTTTCATTGCTCTTGTGTAGTATTAATATTTAGGTATTGAAAACGACTTCTAGAATAATATAATTGAGCTAACCTTATAAAAATAAAAGACACTTTATAGTATTCCTGTTTTTACAACTGTTAGGACCCAAAAGATTGAGTACTTTCTAACAAGAAGTTTATTAGAAGCTTTGATAGCCTCCTCTCGATATATAAATCAACAAGGAAGACATGTCGGACGGTTTTTGCCTTGGATTTATTCATAGCCCATATAATTGACATTCAAGAAGTCACAAGGACATGGGGTATCTTCTACCCCAAGGGTGACAGGAATGTACTGGGAGTCGCCCGTAGGGTTACCCCAAGTTATGCGATACAGACTAAGTGCATCATACCACCCTAATCCTGACGGCTTTATTGGTGGACAAGGCCCATCACCATTCTCGCAATCATCGAGGTCAAACTGATAGTCTGGCGAGGTTTCCCAAGCTTGATAGAATGGCTGCCTGACATAGAAACCTATCTGGTCGCGAAGCTGGCAGGTGAGTGTTTTGTGGCAGAAATCTGAGGCATCGATGACGCATTTGGCAACATCGACGTGTTGCCAAGACGAAGCAAAACATTGTGGAAGTCCCATCAAAGGAGCTCTTTGTATGTAGGGAGCGTTCTGATCTACGTCCAGCATAACATATGGGCTTCGCCCACCACCAGCCGGCTCAACAAGATGTCCGTTCGCATCAAGATAGAACGTCTCAGTATACACACCCGGTTCCCAACTGCTGGCTTCGGTGCCAGCGCGATTGATGCCTGCATAGTTATGGGAGCCTTGGAGATTGATACCAAGGTACGATCCTTCCAGCCATGACCCGCCGTGTACCGCAAGTCTGAAGCAACTGGCACCTGCTGGAGAGACTGGGCAGGAGGTAGCTGTAGCAGCTGCGGAAGTAGTTGTAGTCGTGAAGCCTGTGAACTTGTAGAAAATGAAAGTGGTCGTTGTGGTAACAAGCGGCCCGTTTGCGTTGAACACCTGAGTAGCTGTACTGGTGGTGGCTCCCGATGTTGCGGTGACAGTATTGGTCTGAGAAATGTAATTTGTCCCCGTTGCGATCTGGCTACAAGCGTAGCTGATCTTATCAATCGGCCACCCTGCCATTCCGGTAGGCACGGCGATCGCTCGTCGATCAAAAGCTCCCCTTGACGTAGGTGTCGGTACCACATCTCGCTTATATACTGGAGCGTAGCTTCCACCCATTGTCACGGTTGATGTCTGATACACAGTTGATGTGGTAGCAGGAGCTGTGAGTGTCATATCGTACGAACTACTGGTGGAACTAGTGACTGTGAAGGTCGTAGTGATTGTACTTGTAACACTTGTTGAAACAACTATAGTGCTGGGCACAGTCTTGACCTGGGTCAGTGTAGTGCGCTTTGTAGGTGGATTGTAGCCGATTAATGATGTGCAAAAGTCTCCGGCGTCTGGTGCCAAAGAAGCAATTTCGTCGGAAGCTGGCCAAACGCTAGGAACATTGAAACATTGATTTCGGCGGCCATGCTCACCTTTCGGCAACACGACAGGTAGCGATGATCCGTCGTTGATGTTAATCCAGTTATCATTGCTCACATACGTGCTAACAGAGAGCGAATTAGCCGGACAACCATTAGTAACTACAAAGTTGTATTACGAGGACATGCCCACGGAGTTCGAAGAGAACATCCTCGGGTTAAAGACCATATTCCCTTGAACCACGACTTTAAGGTCAACAATCCACTGGCTGAAGCTATTAATGCTTACTTTCGCACCCGTATTGAATTGTGGTAGAATCTAGTTGACCTTGGGCGTCCAGTTACTCCTAGAGTCAGATGCGTGGTTGAGGATATTCATGTTGATAGATGCATTGTCCCAACTGTACCTGCTCCACCTGTCACGTCAACAGCGGAGTCGGTCGAGAACTGGTATCCTATCCTGTAAAATACTTGCGGTCTATTTAGTTATTAGTTGTGAGAAGCTATATGTCATCATCGTGGTTGGCCGTTCAGACTGGCATGCGAGAACAGAAATGAGAAAAGCAGAGCAAAAGCACTCACGTGATTGCGAAAGCATTATCCAGGGTTATCGTGCCAAGTGTAACACCATCAAATATGTGGTCCCAAGATCCTTGCCAGGCAGAATCTGATTGAATTGGAACACTAGCTGCGGTGCCACCCGTAACACCGTGAGTTACGACAGCTGATGTTGCTGAGCTGGGGCCATTATCTGTCATTTGTAGAACTATAGAACCCGAGAAGATAACGCTGTCCTTGTTGAATGAACATGTGACGCAGCTGAACGTCTTTGCAGTTCCTTGGGTCAGCAACGGTTGGCTGATAGTTGGAATCTTGACCTGCCAGTCGCCTTTGAACTGGTACGTGGTCGTCTTAATCGTGTGGCTGGAACTGCAGCCAGTGAAAAAGCAATTGATAGCGTCGCGATTCTCGTATAGCTCGTGCCCTGTGCAAATACCGGCATGGATACCTTCGTACGACTGGTTTTGTCAGTTACGCCATTTCCTGGCTCATTATCTGAATGCCGCACATACCTCGCTGAGAGTTCCAAGAATATCAGAAGCTGTTCCATCACAAAATTCATCCCACGATCGACGGTAAAGGTGGTGTTTAAGTTTCTCAACATTCCCACGATGGAGGAGGACCTTGCCTCCGTAAAAGCTAGGCGTTGACCGCTTCTGGAAGATCGATTGTCCAGATAGATGTCGTCTTGTTAGAGCACCTTTATTTGTGCAGGTGCCCGAGACTCCATCCGCTGCTCGTTTGAACATTTCGTCTGGGCTGGGGAGTCCCATATCTGAAAGTTTCTGTTGCAGGCCATCTTGATCACCAAGGTTATCAGGATCGTACGCAGGGATTGCAACAGTGCCATTGGCTTCATCTGGCGTCAAGACTAAGCTACCATCTGGGGATATCGAGCATTTTCCATAAGCCAGTTGTATACTTCGAGGGCTCCAGGTGTAAGGTCTGATAGACTTGTAGCAAGAGGGTGGTCAGAGCCAGTGCCAGTAGCGGTATAGGTGGTACTACTCCCAGAGTGTGTGACTGTAGCGCTGACACTCGCAGAAGCACTGATACCAGAATGACCGGTCATAGTACTGGTACTGGCCGTGCTGGTGATAGCACAAGATGCAGCCGGTTCAGTGGGAGCTGTGGGGGCTCCAGTTGCTGTAGCCGTAAATGTTGATTTACTGTTGTCAACTTTGCCGTATTGGATGACCGCAAGAGTACTGACGTCTGAGATCCTCTTTTGAACTGCCTTGAAGCTCAGTTTAGAACCGGCTTCACTCGAGTCAGCTCGACCTCCGAGTAGCCAAAATCCATAGGCATTCTCGTCATTGCAGGTTGTGCTACTAGTGATTAGGACGGTTCCTGTATCTGCGATTGAGGCTAGAATATCAGCAGCTGAGATGCTGTCGCTTAACGTAAGAACAAGAGAAGAAGCGGTACAGGCAGTCGAGATGATTTTGTTACTGTTTGCCAGCACAACGCCGGGCATATCCGGTTTCATTGGCAGCTCCATGATAGCAATATGTGTGCCATGTACCTCTGCATAATTGAGTGTGATATTTAATGATGGAGTAAGGATAGCGTTCGAGGCACGGTCGACGTCACCATTCGGCTGTGGCGTGAGCGTAACATTAGCGCTGCCGGATGTACAGCTATCAGGAAGACTTGGCACGATGACAAGATAAACTGGATTGCAGGTTGCTGGCGATGAAGCGGCTGTCTGAACAATAATATTACTGTCCGAGCCAAGACAGAAGCCAGTCGATCCAATGATGAGAGCGTTACCAAACTCATCTCGTTTCCAAGTTGAAAAGGCGTTAGCCACTCCAGAGGAAAGGCCGAGAACCACCTGTGTATCTGCTGAAACTCCACTCACAAGAACAGCATTGTATTCAATACTGCCATTGGAATGAAAGTTGACAAGGCTGGCATTCGTTTTGTCATCATAAGCTCGACCAAATAGATTATCAAAGCCAAGGTATTTAACGGAGCGCCGGCTGAGACTGGTCGCTGGAGCTTCCACTACAGTAATGTAGCCAGTTATTGGCGAGCTCGGAACTGAGGTAAAGGTAGCAATGGTGCTGGCTGACGTCGTCCCGGAACTTCCAGAGCCCGTAGATATGCTGTTGGACGCCGAGGCAGACCTGAGAGTCGTTGATGTTGTCTTTTGGGTTGATGAAGATCTAGTGTGTGTTGTCGTCTGCGGGAGTTTGCTGCTTAGTACCGCAACTTGACGGTTTGCGGATGTAGAAGAACCCATGAGTGTCTTCTTCAGCCAGCACTTGCCGTCGTGGTAAGCAGCGGCGACGCAGCCGTTAGTCTCGTCGCACCACGTGATGCAATCACCAAATGTCCGTAGCATCTTCGAGGCCATGTCACCACCGGGCCGATCTGTATTGCAGGAGATAGTGTAGGATCTGCCACTTGGCTCCTTGACCTGCTTGCCGTTCTGGTTTGGGCAGAGAGCGGGGGGGGGCGGTCAGCAAGGAGCTTAGTACAGCGGCCTGGCTGGTCGTGTGTTTGGAGGAAGTCATTAGCTTCTTCTTTAACCAGCATCTGCCATCGTGGTAGATAGCTGCCTGGCAACCGGTTGTCTTATCACACCAAGAAATGCAATCACCAAAGCTATTTAGCAGCTTGTTCGCCAAGTCGCCGCCTGGATAATCGGTGTCGCAGGCAATGGTGAAGCTTCTTCCGCTCGGCTCTTTGATTTGCTGGCCGATTGGGCCTGGGCACAACGCCGGCGTGTTTAATAAGGAACTCAGCACGGGTGTATCAACCCCAGAAGCAGCAACAGCGGGTTGTAAAGATTTCTTCAGATAACAGGTTCTCGATCGCCAGCTGGCAGCAATACAACCTTGTGTTTTGTCGCAGAGGTTGATGCAGTTGGGGAAGTCAAGGGTTTGGGCTGATATAATATCTCCATGAGGATGATCTACGCCGCATTGGATAGTAAAGCGCCGGTTATCGCTTCCCTTTACCTGATTGCTACCATCTGCAGGGCATATAATCGGGGCTGGTAAATATTGTACCCTGACTGCGCCGCTCACTTTGTTATTGGCGATGGCGGCGTTTACCGAGGACTTGAGGTAGCAGGGTTTACCAGAAAATGAGGCGGCACGGCAAGCAGGCTGGGTCGCGCAGGCATTAATGCAATCGTAAAAAGTATTGGCTGTGATTGTCTTGTAGTCTCCGCCATGATAATCGAAACCACTCTCCACGGCAAAGTTATCACCATTCTTGGCATGATAGATCTGGTCGCGCTCAACCAACTCGTGGGCGCTGGTGGCGGCCGGGATGGCGTTGCTAGCTCCCTTGGACGCCACAAGCAGGAGCACAGATGCGCCTGCGAGTAGGGAACGCATATTGTTGTGGAACGGTTTCAATAGCCGTAGAACTGAAGAATACTGATGGGTTGCTTAGAAGTGGCGTGGAACCCACCAACTGGGCGCGGGCCCCTGTCTATTTTTGCGGCGGATGGCACATCTTATTTAAACTGCACGCTGTAGAAGATGAAATAGCGGCATGGTCACGAGACATGGGCTGAGAGACGGATACTATGTTTGTTTCAATCACAAGAGTCTCTCGGAGAAAGACCTGCGCTGCTCTAATCTGCATACTACCTATATCAGGAGCTACGCATGCCGTTCTCTCAGCTGAACATTCTCCATTGAGTAATAAAGTGGGTATATAACCCCTTGCCTAAACTCCGAAGCGCGACTATCGAGCAGAAGCTGCTCCAATCCAATTGCTTTCACTTATAATCCCACAATTAAATCGAACTATTGGCTACGTGGGTCAATATTTTACCTATAACACGTTCTTATATTCCTCTTTACCCTTCCAAGGAGGCCTCTCTTGCAGCGGTGCCCCACTGTTGGAGCTTGCTAATAGTTAGTGCACAATAGAAGTTTAGCTATAGCGTTAACCTTAGAATAATTTTAAATTTTTAATTTTAAGTATAAAATTTTCTTACCTTATATTTCGTACCCCAAGGGACGAGATATTATCTACACTACAGGTTTTACACCCTTGGGTATAAGTATCTACACTATAGATTTCATACCCCAGAGCATAAGATATTTATACTGTTTATTTTATACAGCCGGCGTATAGCTGGTGGTGGATATATAAAATATATAACCAAAGAATCTTCTGCGGTCCAAATAGGAGGACTCTTAGATAACAAGGGAGACTAATATTTTATTAACAAGTCGGGAACGCACCTTTGAACAGGCTCACATACATACAAACACATTGCGGAAACCTAGCTTGTTGTACCGCTATTAAGACCACGGAGCGAGAACACCTCATGGAACCTTTTGATCTAGCTCGTAGGGCATCGTTCTCCCAAGAACAAAACCGCTGCCGCAGCTAGGGGTTATTTTGCGTAACAAACGTGTGTTGTCTTTTTCTATTTAATATAAAGAGACCTTTGTTCTTTTTATAACCTTATGAGCCCGGCTAAAGCGAGGCCTAATTATTTGATGTAGCTTCCTCGGAAGGCAGGCAGGTTGCAAAGCCTCGTTAAAATATCTATTTCCCCGTGTTGTACCCCATATCCGTGAGCAATCCAAAATTCGCGACGGGTATGGGCCGGGTGTTGAACCGGGTTGCTGATATTGACAGCTAGAGTCTGGACCCATGGCACGGAAACGAACCGAGGCCCAGCTACTCCTCACTGGATGCATCCCGTGTGCGTTAGTTAGTACAGTTTCAACATCGCAAATAACACTGAACTAGCTAACATAAAGTACGCCGAACTTGTATCACATTGAGATTGGAACTTCTTACACCAGACTCGCACCGCACGAATCCTCCCCCAATTTCAAGCCCGTGGCCCACCATGTAGGTCGATTGTCACAATAACGCTGGGTTCAAGGTCTGCTAACACCAAATGCCAGGTACACAACGTCTTTCGCCTTCTTTGAGGCCCTGATCGAGGCTGGGGTCAAGAATTGCTTTGTCAATCTTGGCTCAGACCATCCCAGCATTCTAGAGGCCATGGTCAGGGGCCAAAGGAAGATGCCTGATACGTTCCCCAATATCATCACATGCCCCAATGAGATGGTTGCCCTGTCCATGGCCGATGGATACGCGAGGCTGAGTGGCGAGGCTCAATGTGTTATTGTGCACGTTGACGTCGGTACCTCTGCCCTTGCGGCTGCTATCCACAATGCCGCCATGGGCCGAGCCCCGGTCCTCATTTTTGCTGGACTCTCACCTTATTCTATTGAAGGAGAGCTCCTTGGTTCAAGAACTGAGTTCATGTGAGTTTAATACCTCGTATTCCATAATACTAGTTAACAATCTAAAGTCACTGGATTCAGGATGTTCCTGACCAAAAGCAGATCGTTTCTCAGTACTGTCGGTACGTGGGTGAGATCAAGACAGGCAAGAATGTCAAACAGATGGTTCGCCGTGCTCTTCAGTTTGCCACCAGCCATCCTCAAGGACCTTCGTATCTTATGGGAGCCCGAGAGGTGATGGAGGATACAATTGAACCTTATACCATCAACTCGGTATTCTGGAGGCCCGTAGCTCCCGCAGCTCTCCCACAAGGGGCTGTCCAAGAGATTGCTGAGGCCTTGATTGGTGCCTCTGATCCCCTAGTCATCGTGGGTTTTACTGGCCGCAACCACGCTGCAGTTGGGCCTCTCGTATCACTAGGCAATACTATCAAGGGCCTCCGTAACCTCGACACTGGTTGCTCGGATATGTGCTTCCCAGCTGATCACCCAAGCTGGCTGGGTATGAAGTATGGCGTGGACTCAGCAATCGAGAAGGCCGATGTTTTCCTCATTCTTGACTGTGATGTCCCCTGGATCAACAAGCTCTGCAAGCCAAAGAACACAGCGCGAATCTTCCACCTCGACGTTGATCCTCTGAAGGAGTCCATGCTGGTCTTCTACATCGATGCTGAGCAGCGTTATCGCGTAGACACAGAAACTGCTCTTAAGCAGATTACAGAGTACCTCCGTAGTCATCTCTCTGAGAAGCTCTCCAGCGCTGAATTCGACCGCCGAGCAGAAGCTCTCGTGCAGTCACACGCAGAACGTATTCGCGCTATCGAAGAGCGAGCCAAGCCCTCCGAGTTAGGAAAGCTCACTAGCGACTACGTTTGCTCGATGTTGCGGGAGAACTTGCCCCATGACACCATCTGGGCGGTCGAGGCCATCACAAACATGATGATTGTCTCGGATCAAATACGAGCTACTATGCCAGGACAGTGGATTCACTGTGGAGGTGGCGGCCTTGGCTGGAGTGGTGGCGGCGCCCTGGGTATCAAGCTTGCGGCAGATGCAGCTGATGCCAAGATCCCTGGCAAGAGTAAGCGATATGTCGTGCAAATCGTCGGCGATGGATTTTACATGTTCAGCGTTCCCTCTAGCGTATACTGGATCTCCGCCCGCTACGGAATCCCCGTTCTGACTATCGTTCTCAACAACAACGGCTGGAACGCGCCACGAAGGTCTATGCTGTTGGTACACCCAGACGGCCCTGCATCCAAGGCGAGTAACGAGGAGCTCAATATCTCCTTCGCTCCTAGCCCTGACTATGCGGGTATTGCCAAGGCTGCCAGCAATGGATTGATCTTTGGTGCTCGTGTAGCTGACTCTTCAGAATTCCAGACTGCTCTCAATGACGCCATTGAGAGTTTGGACCAAGGTGTCTCGGCTGTGTTGGACGTCGCAATTTAGAGATAGAGAATCATAGATGAATTAAAAGGTTTTGCACAAAGCTCAACGGCATTCAACATGCAATGCTAGATAGTTGAGTCACAATGACAATTGTTTCACGCGTTATCAACCTTGATGACTTCCTTGCGTAGCAACCTATGCAACTTACTGTCTTAGAGGGACAGGGATACAAGGTACTCGAATGGTAGTGCATAACAGCTGATTGTTCTATTATATCCAATCCCATTCCAGAGTTACTCCATCGAAGAGCTGGCCACCAAGTCACCGTCGATCTTACAGAGCTAAGTTCATCATCTTTGTCTAAATTCTGATGCTATGAGACAGCTGTCTATATGTTACAAATAAACTCTGCTGAAAATGGAACAAACGCAATTATATCTCGCTCAAATTTACACACGATCAAAGATTTTACCAGGGTTCATCAGCCAGAGAGGATCCAAGCTAGTCTTGACACCCCTCATCACCTGAATGGGCACATCTCCAATTTCTTCCCGAAGGAAGTCCTTCTTTCCAAGTCCAATACCATGTTCTCCCTAATCATCGTTAGAAGCCCTTCTTGGGGGTCTGGATGAGGATTACTTACTGTGCATGTTCCCTCCATTTCGATAGCCCGCGAAACCATCTTGTGAACGCAGTCTTCAACCTCTTTGCGCTGCTTATCCTCAAACAGAATGGTCTCGTGGAAATTGCCATCACCGATGTGTCCTAGAATACTACCAAACAAGCCGAGTTCGACGAGATCCTTTTTGGATATATCTATAAGATGTAGGGTCAGTAAACGATCAAGATGCACATCACAGAGCACTAACCTATTAGCTCAGAGACCCGAGAGAGAGGCACAGCGACATCAGTAGACCACACGTGTCCGTCGGTCTCCCGAAGTGCCATCATGCTCCAGAGTGCTTCTTTTCGTGCCGACCAGAGGGTTTTCTGCTTATGCGGATCGCTCTCGTATAGGAAATCCTTAGCCTGGTGGCTCTTGGAAATGCCCTGAACCTTCTTGATGCTATCCTTGACAATGGCATCGCTGCCACTGAACTTGAAGAATAGCGTGGGCACTTCATTCCACTCCCGCGATGTCGCACCCATCCTGTTAATCACGCTCATCAAGACCTCATCGAGAATCTCAACGGCGCTGATGGGCACAACTTTACGGATGACCTCAATCGCCATGCTGGCAGCAGCCTTGACCGTTGGGAATGTGACCACTGCGATTCCGGTATGTTCAGGAATAGGAGCGAGCTTCAGGGTGGCCTCCGTTACGAAGCCCAAGGTTCCTTCTGATCCCACGAAGAGAGAGTTGAGATTGTAGCCAGCTGACGACTTCCTTGGCCTCTTGCGGGTTTTTAGGATTGTGCCATCGCTCAGGACGACAGTAAGATTTACTACCCAATCCTTCATGGTGCCATACTTTACGGCGTTGGTACCACTGACAACTAGTTAGCATTCAACCTTTCATGTATCAGGAAAACCCTTACCTGCAATTGGTTCCGATCATGCCACCAATTTGAGCCTGGTATAATAAAAATCAGTTCTGAGCCCGTTTTGGTATGTTACATCACGCAGTAAACTTACAGAAGGGCCTGGCTCAATGGGGAAGAAAAGCCCAGTATCCTTGATCTTCTCATTCAATTCCATCCATTGGACAGATGGCTGAACCACAACATTGAGGCTTCAAGGTGAGATTAGTATTGGTGCTTCACTTCCGCAAAGAAGAAAAGGATGGAATCTTACTCATCACCGTGCATCTCCAAAATTTGATTCATGTTAACGAAATCAACACTCACGCCGCCAAATGGGGCTGAGAAGTTGCCCTCGATACTTGAACCTCCCGAATAAGGGACTGATCATACTGTCAGATACTTCCGTCTCATTTTTGTTCAAAAAGGAATAAACTTGCTCATAGGTACGCGTCTCTGGTGGCAGATTTTTGCGATACTTGCAACTTCTTCTGTCAACGTGGGGAACGTGACAGCGACTGGTAGCCGGTCGATGTTGATGGTAGACCAGTCTGAATAACCATGAGAATGCAGAATCTCATCCTCTACACTCACGGCACCTTCTCCAAGTGCTTGTCTTATCTCTTTGACGGCCTATTGTTTTCCGATCAGTCTCTGATTCGTCATTCTGATTGTTAGAATTTGACTCACCAGTTCCATCTCAGCACGGCTGGCGTACTGAGACTCGGTGCCCTTGGTCTCCTTGTCATGGTTAACTATCGTATACAACAATGTTCCTCCAATAGTTATTGCCGTTGCAGACAGTGATGAGGCAAGTAATATTGGTTGCTTGCGCTGATCTTTTGACTTTGAGCGACTTTGGCGGCTACTCTCTGATTCTTGGGCCCTTTTGGAGTTGGTGCTGTGAAAGCTGCACAGACCAGGTAGCCGTGATACTGTAGAGGATGCCCCTGGTCTTCTGAGGTTCCCCAAAATGGGACGAAAAGATGACTTGAGCATTATGACGAAGGGGCTAGAATAGAACAAGCGTTTCGTGAGTACAATAAGGGAAAGATAGTTTAGGGGTTGATTATGGTAATGCAGTGGATGAATGGGATGGACCAAGCCAGGCAGTGGAATATGGGGTAGGGCAACTAGATCTTCGGGGGACCGATTTTAATTCTAGGGTCGAAGCCTGTGTCTATGAAATTGGCAGTGGAACTGAATAGGCTTAGACTAGCTCGTATTGTATACTGTGGACTATAGTGGGTGGTATTCGGGTGGTTCCCGGGTTAACATCAGCTGAATTCGGAAAAAGCCCGGTGGCTGGTCGGGAACAGCCGTAAAAAGGTTGATTCTCCCCCTCACAGCCGAGTCTGTTCTCTTATGCTCTGTTCTCCTCCCCACTCTTCCCATCCTATTGATGTAAGTGATGCGGGAGTGATGGACGCAACCACGGATCCCAACCCGTCAGCAAACGAGGATGCAGCCTCGGTCACCCGCTCGCCCAGCCAAGCGCAAGAGGGTCGCATTGGCATGCGATAATTGCCGGGAGAGAAAGATCAAGTGCGATGGCACCAAGCCTGTTTGTGGCCCCTGCAAAAAGCGAGGTGAACTTCCCACTCGATGTGTCTATACTGTTATTTCCGGGACGGCGAAGCAGACCAGTGAGCAAGAGTAAACTTGGTCAATGCGTTGATATCGGTGCATCGCTCATGGCATCTCTAGGTACATCACGTTTCTGCAGAAACAGATGTTGCCTGGCTCGCTATTGAGCTTGCCATTGTCTGGAAGTTCTTTGTTGAGACCAAAGGTCCCAGTCTTGAGGCTATTGCTGCTGTTTTCGATGGTTATCCTGCGGCCGACTCGTCCGAGATAATTGATTTCAAGAAGAAGTCCGATGAAAACTAAACGGGGTCTGCATTTTCTTCTCCAGCATTGTGTGCACAAGCTTCTTTACATATAGTAATTCGGAGACCTTGAGATATTCCTTGGAAGTGCTGGCATTGTTGATGAGAGTGTTTTCAGAAGTGATGACTGCGATGACTCTGTAGTAGATCTCTTTATATCAAAGTCACGGCCTTCCCCGCCGGGTTTGGCGGCACCCACCCCACCCATGTCGGTCGCGTCGCTGCTTTTGACCACACCTATAAAGACCCCTCCCCTCACCTCTCATTTCCTCAGCTCAACTCTTTCCTTCACCCCTCCCTGCCCATTGCGTCTTTTTTTGCATCGTTCCTTTCTGCACACGCACCAACCATTTGTTGCCTCAACGATTGCGATGAGTAACCAAACTATCCACCATTCGGTTGCTGAAGGTGCACTTTTTCAATTCGAAATGAGCAACAGAATATGACGGGATGGCCTTTGAGCAGCCTCTGCCATTGAAAGCTACCCAATGCTTTGGAGTAACAGATAATTGAGTAGTGGTTGACAGCAATCTGACCCAACCCCGACCGATATGAAACTACAGGGTCCAGGCGGCCACCTCGCCTCCTACATCAACACGACCTTACGCGCCATCTCCGAACCATACAATAACCCATCGAACTGAAACCAGCCATGAATCCATATCAGGCCAGAGGATGACTTTTAATCAAATTCGTCAGACATACAGCCGCGCATTTTAGCTTCATGCTAGCTACCATGGATTCTCACTAGTCGACCTTGCCTTCACAACGATGCGCTTCTCTGGTACCAACTAAAACTCTGCCGATCATGACATGAGCGTGTGCTTTATGAAGTAATTTCCGTCCAACATCCCATCCGGGCCATTCATCCTAGCCAAAGAGCCCGACCTACAGTTACAGATATAATACAATATTTGAACTAGGCACGATATTTTATCCACTTTTGTCTGAGTAACGCTTTGAGTCCTCTCGGATATAACTTAAGTCCACGGAAGGCGCCAGTAAATTGTTAGAACTTCCCCTAAACGGAAATCAGGCGTATTCCGGGTATTTGCCTCTAAAGTACTAGGATATTGCTAGGAGGTAGCAATCGGTTACTGGAAATTAACTAATAGGAAGTTTATTAAGAATTATAAATAATTAAGTCAAATATTAGCTACAGATGTTTATAGCTGGATAAGTATAAAATAGCTAAATATAGCTTATAGCAGTATTTAGTTTATAAAGTTATTCTTCTATTTACTTTACCATTTACTAATATAAACCTAACAATTCTATTTCAAGTTCATACTCTAAGAATTTACCTTATATTAATTATTTAGCATATGGTTTGTGATATAGCACTATAGCTAGACTTTACTACTTATTAATTATAGCACTAATCCTCGGAGCAAGAGGACATATGCCTTTTATACAGATAAAGAACTGGTTTAGTATCCTTGCCAACCACTTTCAGGCAACTGGCTTCTTGTAATAGAGAAATACCCCGATTTTTCGAGACTGGCTTGAAACTCTTTGAATTTCCTCGTACTAGCTTTCCTCTCAAATAAGATGTCCAGCTCGAGGTAACTCAGGCCCTTGGGTTCTGGAAGCCTAAAGTAGCACCAGATAAAGCTCAATGCAGTTGTAACTGCATAGAAAAAGCATGTCTTGCTTCGCCAATCGAGGGCAACCGGATTCAGCATGTGCGAAGTGCCAACATTCATCGCAATACTGATAGCGTTATACGTAGCGCGAGCAAGGACGACCGATTTAACTCGAAGGCGCGTTGACGGAATCTCAGCTACTAAAACATAGCAGACTGGTCCAATAGTCATGTCGTATACAAAGGTTAAAAGGATAAGGAGGCCAGCTGCAGCCCATGATGTTGCCCGTGATGATGGCAGAGTTCCAACGATCCCGGCAGAAATGAAAATCCAGAATGAAACCACCAATCCTGTTAGGTATAGTCGTCGTCTTCCAAAGTGAGAAAGGAGAAACAATGCAATAACCCCACCTAAAATTGCCAATGCGTACATCCCGACCGCTAGACTAAATGAAGACCGTACATCAACCCCAGCCTGCTCATAGAAATAGGCAGCAAAGCCAGTTAGTGTTGAACCGCTCATCGCCTGAGTAGAAAAGACTAGGCAGCAGATTTCCGTTCGGCGGAGATTAGTATATTTGAAGCAGTCTAGGAAAGACGAGCTTCTTCTGTGGATATGCTTCTCAATATCGTCTGTATGTTTCATCATCGCAAGAGACTTGTCAACATTAAAGTCAATAAACCTTGTCGTAACAAGTCTCAACAAAGCTTTTCTTGCTTTTTGTAGTCTTTCGTGTCGTACTAGCCACCCTGAGCAATTTTCAACAAGTTTAGTGTTATACTCCTCTCCAGGACGACTGACTTACAGGGGCTCTCAGGGGCGAAAATAACCCCAAGAAATATCACGACGGCAAACACCCATTGAAGGCCGAAAGGAATTCGATATGACCACGGGGATGTATTGTCGACTAACCTTCGCATTATGGCCACTCCTAGCAGTTGTCCGATCAGCCAGCACATATTTACGCTGCTTAACAAGTACGCACGCATTTGCACAGGCATCACTTCGGCAGCGTAGGTGGTGGAGAGACTTTGAAAGGCACCCCATGGAATCCCTCTATTTGTTAGCGTATTGTTATTGTAGCAGCAGCATCAGACATACCGCACAAGATTTGAGATGCCAGTATCATCTTAATGTTGACAGCGAAAAAAGCAGGGAAAATAAACAGCATCAACATGACTAAAGCCCCTAGCATTGTCCAGCGGTATCCGAATCGATCAGTCGAGAAACCGTTAAGAAAAAGGCCTATTATTTCGCTAACCACAGAGGCATTCGATAATGCGGCTTGCCATGACGGACTGATCTGGTACGTGATGGCGCCAGATGAGCCTACTCCGGGGGCTGGATGTCCGTATGCCTGTCGAAAGGCAGGGAGAGCATAGAAACTGTTAATCAGCGTAGTATCGTAGCCTTCCATAATGATGGTGCATGAAAGGAGGAATGACCAAGCCATGGCCTTGGCATAAAGGCGACATCCATTGTAAAAATTCATTTTGCGTTCGATATCTGCCGCCACTTGAGCATCTCTTGGCGGCTCAAGTGTATTAGGAATTGCGGTGAAGAAATCTCGAAACACCTTGTCACAGATGAGTGTTTCTCCCGCCGCCGTTCGATTTGTCTCGGCAACGCGAACAGCTTCGAACGGTTGGCTCGGAAGAGTTTCGACTAAGCCGGAAGCGGCGGACACTAATTCCACGAACTCTAACGTGTGAGGGTTTTCAGACGACACATGATTGCTTTCGTCTCCAACCATTTTTTCCTCCATTAAATTCGTGCTTAATAGATGAGTGCCGTGGACGACGATGGATAGCTCAGGCGTGGGATAACCCGCAATTGAGGTTGCAATGGAGACGAGCAGCCCCACATGCCATGGCAACCACTCCAACACAGAATTTATGGAAACGAATTGACGAACTCCGAGGAAGACAGAGACTTGAGTGGCGACAAACCCTGGTTTGTGGAGGTAACGCCACCAGAGCACCACCATGCCGCTCTTGCAGCCTAATGCTTAAGCCAGTGGGTTTGGCGTTATAGAATACTGTATGGCGTTAAGAAATTGTGGGTCCAATATTTGCTTGTAAGGGAACTTGGGAACCGTGACCTACCTAGCCTTGTCACGTAACAGAGATGCATCTCCCTTAAATACAGCTGGCTGATACAGCAGATAAAGTTGGTGTTTTATAAGGGTGTTATACTACGTGGAAACTGTTATAATACAGAAATAGCTACTAAAGTTTACAAGTAGCATTAAATAGGTCCATTAAGGGTGGAAAGCTGAGATTAGTTAGGGTTGCGGGAGCTATCTTGATTTAGAATGCAACCTATCTACATGTAGCCGCATGGCAGTAATTATTTAGTATATTAAGATAGAATATGTGACACGGTGTAAAAATTTTACAACCTGGCGAAAGCCCTTTAACAGAATTTCTCTCCAAATACGTTACAGTTTCACCAAGGTGTTATGTATTGCATTTTATAGCTAGATAGATACTTGTGTTTTTAATTTTAATTTACTGCATTCTTATTATTATTTCATTTATTATTTAAAGTTTATTATACATTTTATATATATTCCAGCTTGAATTGCTATAGCGTTTGAATAAACGTCAAAAAGTGAGATCGAAACGCTTCGCTATCAACATCAACAGCGACTCGGCAATTGGGAATGGGGGGCGAAGGAGTTTCTAGTCGATCCGCAATCATGATGCCGCGCGTTTCACCGTCGCCCGTAATGATTGATACAGCCATGTCCCTATGCTTGCACAAGTCGGGTTTGGACACGACAGCCACGGCCAAGGGGTCGTAAATGGGAATCGACTCAGTCTTGGGTCTACCCGGGAACCTGACGGCTTGATAATCTATGTAGGCCATGATGGCGTCTCCCGCAAACGCAGCGAAACTCGAGGAAGCCTTCTAGAGTTCTTGGGCATCAGCCTTGGTGAGACGAACTCGCAGGGTGCAATCGAGCCCAATCCAGCGTTGAGGAATACCAGAACGAAGAACGGCTCGGGCAGCCTCAGGGTCTGAGAAGACGTTGAACTCTCCCGGCTTGTCTCGTGAATACATGGTCCCGAAGAAGACTCCCCCCATGATGACAAGCTCCTTGATGGCTGTCTTTATTTGAGGCTCGAGAAGAAGGGTGATGGCGACGTTGGTAAGAGGTCCAATGGCGACAATGGTGATTTCGCCCGGATTGGCCAGGATTTGCTCGACAATGGCCACAGGGGCGTAGCCTGGGGTCGGAGGACGCGCCGTGTCTTTGAGTGCGGGAACGTGAGGGGCGGCTTTGATCGGTATGAATGATGGGGGTTGCTGAACCGCGGACGAGCGGCGTGTCCTGGATGCCAAATCGGTTAAGGAGGACGCCAGTCAAGATTGTGGCGCTCTCAATGTCGGTATTGCCATTGACTGTGGTGATCAAATCCATTTGAATGGCTGGATCTGCATGTGCCAGGGCGAGAGCAAAACCATCATCGACGTCCGCGCCGTAACCCATAGACAGGTCAGTGTCGAGTATGATGCGCGTTACTGGCATGCTGTATAAAGAAGAAAGTGAGGCTAGAGAGAGATTGTGATGAGGCTCAAAGGGAGGTTGAATGTAGTGTGTTTTTTAGGAATGCTTTAATCTTGTGCGCCCTGCTGCGTTCGTTCTTGAGTTGTGTGTGTGCAATTTTGTCAAGACCTATTGCCAGGCTTTTCTCAACCAGTTGAGTCCAAATCACTCTTACGATCTCCTAATATGCCGGGTCGTTCTTTCAAGCAGAAGCCGGTCGGACAGAAGACCGACGTTGCGCCCTAACAACCGATAAATCGGCATTAGACTTGGCTATCTTGTGGGGGACCACCAGTCGATAGTGGCTGATCAGTCATTGTCCCAGTTTCTCCAAATATCTCCGCGCCGTTGGGGTCATGGGGGACCCTATTTTGTCGGAGGCGCCCCGATCTACGCATATCGGAGGCTCCCCGGTTTGCGATCTAGCATCCATGGAGCAAATGGTGTAATTTCATTTCTCTCAAGATCGGTGTCAAGAAGGGGAGGCCGTTTACGAATAACAACTACAATCAGAGGCTACCGAAAGTCAAAGCAGTCGGGCATATTTAATCGAGGCAACCTCCCCAATCTTGTCATCCATCCTCCCATGTGACAATTACCAAACATACTCATTTAACCATAAAGTTCATGGATCAATCCCACGACAAAGTTGGCGGTTACCATCTCGAAACCCTGGACAATGCCGAGCTACCAAAGGTTTTCGACGAGGCGTTTGCTTCGGACGATGCAGTCCAGATGCGATCCAAGTTGGATAATTTGCCCTTGTTGATAGCCGTTCGCCTCTACTGGCGAGTCTCCTTGATTTGCATGCTGGGCGCGTTCAGCGCCGCGCTGGACGGCTACCGTGAGTTCAAATGTCGACGAGGAGGAACCCGAAATCACACTGACTTTTAAAATTCATCAGAGGTGGCCATCGCGAGTTCCATAGTCTCAAACAAAGGCTTCATCCGTAAAATGTCAAGCGGCGGCACTGCACTCAATCCTACTCATGTGGCTGTCTGGGGAGGCATGCTGTCGATGGACCAACTCATAGGAGTAGGCCTCCTTCAGCTGGCAACGGACATACTGGGCCGTAAGAAAGTTATGCATCTTACCTGGCTCATGCTTGTTATCGTCAGTTACTAGCCCCCGTCTGTATGATCTCCCTATACTTTCGTTAGTTAATGACACTGGCCCTCATAGTCCGTGGCGCTAGAGACAGCAGTGTGAATCCTGCAAACTCGGCAAACCTGGAGTCCAAGACTCAAAGCCAAAAGGCATTCATAACGACACTATCATCGGATCTAGCACAGCCTCAAGTCGGAACTGAAATTCTCCCCTCTACCTCTGCCGAGTTAACTAACTCTGATCCTAGAAGCAGGGGCCTCAATGTTCAAGTTGAAGCAAACAGTCACACATCATCCACTGATACTGGCAGCGCTGATCCCGCAGCCGGTCATGTTTCCTCCCGGAACTCAGCGGGCATAAATCAAACCACCGAAGGCTTCGTCGTAGGCCACGGCCGTGCACCAGATGCGGCAGCCCGTCGCTTTGTAGACGCCTACTTCCGGAACGTGGATAGGGCATACCCATTTGTCGACCGGGCCGAGATCCTCGAGAATCTTGAGACTATGGGCGATTTCGCTGAGAAGCTTCGAGACTCTCAGTCTACTTTGCTATATCTGATCATGTACATTGGCTGCACCACCCTCGAGCGAGCCAGCCAGATCCCCAGGGAGACGAGAAAACATTTCGAGGTGGCCTATGCCGAGATCATCCAGGAGTGTGTGTGTCGAAACAGCATCGAATCTGTCCAGATTTTGATGCTACTAGCGCTTTACTCGCTGTTCGATCCTGCATGGACGTCTACATATTCCATTGTCGGCATTGCCGTGCGGCAGGCCATCACGACAGGCCTCACACGTCGGCCGGCAGATGACCACGCCCACTCACCAGCTGAAACCGAGCTACGCCATGGACTTTCCTGGAGCGTCTTGGCCCTCCATCGCATGATGGCTGTATCTCAAGGTCTGCCCGTGGCATTGACAGACGATAATGCCGATGTGCCTCTTCCAGGCTTGACGGTTGACGATTTTGCCAGCCCAGAGAGAGCAACGTACGCGCGGAAGCTGCATTCAAGTCGACATGTCATCCAGCTACGACAGCTAGAGAGCCGCATCTTAGACCAAATTCATTTCAAGAAAAAGGCCGAGATCGCAAAGTTGACACCGTCAGATAGGCGAGCAACGCTGAGTAGTATGCGGGCGTCCATTGAGGACTGGTACAGCAAGGGATGCCTGATGTCGCCCATTGAGGCTGGTAACGCCACCGTACACAGCAGTATTACATTGCTCGGCGCTCGCTACTACTATTTATTGTTGCTGATGTACTACCCGAACCACTTCAACAGCTCGGCAGGGAGTGTGTCACGGCAACATCTACTGCAGTTGGCGCAGCGTCATCTCCAAGCCATATCAGCGCTCTTCCAGCAGCGACAACTGCCCTTGAATAGCGTCACGCCTCATAGACTGATGTCTGTAACTCTGGTGTTAATGCACGACTTTATGGCGACATATCGTCAAACACCCTGGCCCTCGCCGGCCATGCTTCCCTTCCTAGCGAGAGATGAGGTCGCGGTAGGGGCTTTCCCTCATCTCGGGTACCACTATTTACATCTATCTCCGGAGCTCAGCTTTGCAATGCTGCAATGCGGCGAAACCAACGGCGGGAGGCCGGGAAAATGCATTCAAGTAGGCGACTAGGACTGAATCATGCATGGCTGGTATCTGGGGTCGTTGGTAGAGCTGGTAGTCATTGCAATGCATATACGGCTCATTGGCCCTTAACCGGCGCTCTGGCTTGATCTTCTAGAAAGAACAGCCCTCTATCACTGAACCGGTGGAGTAACAAGGCCCCCATTCTTATTGCGCCTTGGTCAGACTTAGCATGGAGGTGCATCTCTACCGCACTTCTTCTACATAATGTTCCCGAAGCTGTCTTCGATCGCTCTCCTCGTGCGCGGGGTCATAGGCGTAGCCGCCGTACAGTCGCCCCCCCCCCCCCCCCCCCTTATTCGGAGGCCACCGCCCCTATAGCTGTGGTCTAAAATGGCACTTATGTCGGCATCCACCACGATGGATTCAATCAAGACTTTTTCTTGGGCATTCCCTATGCGCAGCAGCCCGTGGGTAACCTACGGTTCCGAGTGCCTCGGTCTTTGACTAAAAGTTGGGCCGGGGAGCGTAACGCGACTGAGTTCTCCGCAGCCTGTCCAGGATATCAACTAAGTCCGACCAAGCTTCCCCTGATTCAACAAGGGGAAACTGAGCGCATTCAAGCCGGAATACATACGCAGCGGATCACGTCAATACTATAGGCGCACCAAGCTGACTGCGGTGCTCTGACAGTCATCCACATTTGCCGCCCGCATATTCGAAACATGTCTGGCACTGAATGTCGTCCGGCCAGCGTCGGTTGTCAATGAAACATTTAAGCTGTTGGTGGTTGATTGGATCCACGGCGACGCCTTCTCGATCGGGTCTGGTTGTGAGGAACAGTATAATACTTCTTTCCTGGTAAGCCAGCCGAGACTATTGGTGAATACCTCTGCACGCGAGGCTAATGTCATGCCGGCATTCCTTGATGCTTCCTCGGACTGGCCATATCCAGGGCATAGGCATATCCAGGGCATAGGAAAGCCTATCATTGCTGTTACTACCACATACAGCCTTTCCGCGTGGGGTTTCCTTTACTCCTTGGAAGGGGTAGGGACGGGCAACACGAACGTGGGCCTTCGTGACCAGCATCAGGCCTTGCAACGGATACAGGAGAATATTGCCACTTTTGGAGGCAACCCATGACGGCCCCCAATCTGGAGGTAGTCCGCTGGCGCTATCTCGGTTGGATAGGGTTAAGGTCGTAACATAAATATTATATTTATTTTGTTTTATACAATATATAATAAATATAATACTTAAACTAGTAGCTTTTATTATTTTAATACCCACATGTAGCTTTAGAGAATTAGCTTATTTACTAGATATTAATAAAATAATAAATTCCCAATAGCTACTCGAATAGCTTTTGTTCTTTTCTCTTTACAAGAAGCACAACCTTCTCACTCGGAATGCTACTCTCACCAACATGGAAGTTCGGCAGAACGGGGCTTTTTAGCTTGCAGTCAAACTCAGTTAACAAATACGCAGCTAGGAGCCTGACGGCATATGTGAAGTAGAACCTTCCAGGACTAGATGCAGTCAGCATAAAGGTGGACATATATTTTTAATATATAACAACGCACCAAGAGTTTTTGCCTACTCCCCAGAATGGCCACTCCATCCCAACATCTGTCACAGAACGCAAACCGCCTTGGAACCTTGTAGGATCAAAAGTTTCTGGTTCACTATATCGTTTTTCGTCGAAGTGAACACCTGCCTGGTAAAACTGTACACTTTCTCCTGCCGGAACTGTATAGCCATCTGAGAATGTGAATGGTCTGATGGCCGTTCTGTGGACGGCTGTGGCTTGAAAACAGTGTGTGCGCATTGATTCCATGAGGACACCTTCCAACAGAGAGGTCTGTTTCGTTCGTGATGTCGACGGCATAATCTGCGACCCCTGAATTTCGTCTATCAATTGTGTGTGAAATGTTGTATGATAATATAAATCCTTGAGAAATTGAGTTGCCACCTTCACTAGGAGTTAGCTTTGGAAGTTTCTAACTCTAGAGGGCTTTCATACTCCACCTAGCGAAAGAGTAGTAGTCGTAAAAAGGATGTTGAGGTGGTGCACAATTTCTGAAGTTGACCATTCATCAGGGCTAGAGTCCACAAAGGCTTCAAGAACGGTTGCCTAACTTTGGAATAAGTGCATATGCTATCAATAATATGTGTAGTACGTACCGGGTCAGACAGAGTCTTGAGAGCGTTTCTTTTTATCGCACGTCTCGCATTTACAAGTCGCATCATTGTGTCGCGCACATACCGCTGATTCAGATTCTTGCCTTTCACCAACTTTGCCACTAGGCTGGGAGAACGTAAGTTAGTTTCTAAATAGTTTTTGAAACAAGTAGTGCACATACAACGCCAGAATTGAAGGCATTACTCTAACAGCTTCGCCAATGATGGCAATCTCCTTCGTCGCCGCAATGCCGCTCTTGACCAGCTTCACGTCATTTGCTACGACAAATTAGTCCAGTCATAGATCTCGGGTAGGGTTTCATGCATCGTCATACCAGCATCTATGCCGAGGATAAAAAAGCAATTGATTCTGACCATCATGTACTCCAATGTCGCCATTAGAGTCATCTCGGCGAATCCTAACCAAAATAAGCTCAAAGCCTTAGCAAATAATTGATAAATTACATACCACCTGACTTTGGTGAATTCTGAATTGTCATATCTAGATCATGCTGGAAGATTTCGAGTAGCTGAGGTCTGAGGCTAGGAAGATTGCTCGACATAGTCCGAATGGCCCGGATAATAGGCATGCCTTCCTGGTCTCTCGTGTCTGGCCATTGGTCTAGCAGAGAATATTGAGGTTGAATGAACTACTTCAAGTTTAGTATACTAGTATGAACATAGCAACCACTTTCCAAATTTACCGATTTTACCCAACTATGCAGCGATAGATGAGCAATATCAGCACCTTTCAAATCATTCCAATGCTGCTCTGTGGACACGATATGCATGCGTTCTCCGTATCCGAATACGGGCAAAGAAAACGGCGTATTTCCAGACTAACACGGCTTTAGCCCTGATTTTTTTAGGGGGGAGAAACGTAACTTGGCGCACTTACGGCTTTTGCTCTTTCGCCAATCATAACCCTTCCCTTGAAGACAAATTTCCATGATTCACGTCTGCGGAACCCCACATAACCAACATAAAACACCCAGAGTGTTACTCCAGCTAGACTTAGAAACTTTAGTGTAAGCATAATTACCCTTTTTGCATAAGTGATCTCTTGGGGTTGTTCGAAACAGCAATTTCCAAGAGAGAACGCCAAGGGAAAATGTGACACGAAATTTCCGGGATGTTTTGGCCATAAAATTCCCTTTCTCAGAGAGCACGATTCGGATATTTTTGTCAGAAGTCTGCCTCTGACATATATCCGACCTTCCCGATTTGTGACTAACGTGACGGCTTAACCCCCGATGCCCGAACGTGAGGGGCAGACATGCATGTCAGATATAAGCAGCGATTCGGCTCTAATCCTTCGCATAAATTGTGATGCGACAGCTGAAGGCTCGGGGCCCGATATTGGTAAATGGCGTTGATTAGAAGGGCCAATTAAACTTGTTACAGGTTCAGTTCCATGGGCAAAGTTAGCAGAATTCTTCTCAACACGTCACGGCTTGAATCGATTCAAAATACCTTAAATAACTGAATTAATTAGCTAAATTGCTTTCAAAAAGTGAAATACTATACTAAAAACCCCTACCCAGCATAAGGTACAGCGGCTCTTAGGCAGGTATGTAACGGTCGATGAATATCCAGGTGTGTCTGCCTTTTGCTTTGGGATCATACGCTATTCTGGCTAGAACGGCTTCCTCCATCTACTCTATAGAGCTACTGAACTGAAAGTGCCTAATGTCGCCAACACAACGCCCGTTAATGGCATCATTGATCGCCAAACATGCATCCAAGCCCACCTTACCACTAGAGCCTTGACCTCCGCTATCCCTGCTACCGAAGGCCCGGTCTTACTCGCAGACTCTAATAGAAACAACTGGTTATTGGTTGGAGCCATGACGAACCACGTAAACGGGAGCATAATAATCGTTGCAGCACTTGCTAGTCCGAAAATGGCCCATGATTTTTGAGCTTTGCTACGTTCGTAGCAAGTATAAAGGTGTAAGAGAAACGTGCTAATTGCCATGGTCGGCATAATTTGATGACCGTAGTGGTACATGCGAACCCATTGGAACAAGAGCTGCTTCGCGTCCGTGGTAGTTTCTAAGAACACTGGTACAGCTAGAAATGAGAGTGCCATCATTGACCCTACATGTGTTTAGTCCTGGTTAGCCAATCTGCATCCTGGCATCTGCGTGAATAGTATATGATAACGACATGCCTGCGAGAAACGCTCCTGTTACCACTGAGGTAGCTTGAGAGCTAGTAATAGACATTGTTATGCTGCGGCGAAACAAGGTGAGGAATGATTCGACCGGTAGTCAAGGTAGTGGCATTCTATACCATGCACGAAGTTTAGGAGAGAGATGTTCTCAAATGATTGTCTTGGTTTTAAAAAGATCAAATACAAGGTACAGGCAGACGCCAAGTAAGCGTGACACTCGGCATTAGCATTCTCGAGGGAGGTTCCGACTTCCGATCGGACATAGTGCTGTCCCGAGAGAAGACAAGTATTATATTATCGGTGTTCTTAATATCATGATAAAAAGGAGGAGAAGGGGGACAAGATGAATAAAGCTAATAAATTCGATAAAGTTCGATAAAGTTCGTCGGATATCTTGGTAAGAGCCTAGCTGTAGGTTTTCTGGGTTTAGAATCGTAAAGTCACAACACATATATCTCCTGTGCGAACAATGCATGGAATTCAACGTATTACTTTGCCTTAATCTGCCAAAAAGAAAAAAAAGATTATGATTCTTCTCCATATATTTTAATCCAACCCAGGACCCAAAAACCTTTGTATCCAATACGTGGATATCGAAATACGTAAAAGTTCATTTTAGCAACACTAGCTTTATCAAGCACATCCACAATAATTGGCCAGAAAGAGCGATTTTTGGGCTGCTCTATCAGAGTGTACAAAGTGGCGCATTTCAATCTAGGCTATCAGTTCTTTAATATTGTGGATGTCTAAGCAGGACCTGTAGATGGTAAATATGAATGCATCCAAGGAAAGTAATGTCTCATCAACCCCATGAAAATGCACGTCGGGGTGCCACGAGGGAATCTAGCACCCACTCCTCGCGTCTTGTTGACCACCGATACATTTTTTCCGTCATAAATACCCTCAATATTTTCCGCTGCTTCTATCATAGCGGCCGAAAGATCTAAATAACTGATGAAGCTCTCTTCCTCATCTAGAGATAGCTGATATCCACGAGCAACATCTGGAGACAATCCACCTGGCTTGATGTAGATAGTCTTAATCCAGTCTTCATGTGATCGTAAAAAAGATTCCGTAATTCTCAGATCTTTGTAGACATGGGAGGCTGCTGTAAGCATTACCGGACGAAACCAGCCGGGCATATGGCGAGCAAGGTGGTCATCGATTGTGGCAGAGCTGAGCAAGACCAATTTTGGAGCCTTGAACTCTGGTCCGGTCTCTTTTTTGATATTCTCCAAGGCCTTGACGACTGTCAAGGCACTGTCTTGGCCAAGGCGGCAACTAGGAATGTTGTCATTAGTGGTGACCGCGAGGAAAACTACTTGGCTGCCTCGGATGCATTTGGTGATTAGTGGTAGGTCTAATATGCTGCCCGTAAAGACCTGCACTTGTGCATTGTTGACGACTTCTGGGAGTAACTGGTGCAGTTTAGCTTGGTTGCGGCAATAGGCATGGATCCTATTGTGAGGTGACGAAAGAAGGTTCTGGATAAGCGCTGTGCCGCAGTTTCCGGTACTGCCTAAGATGGCGTAGGTAACCATTTTGGTGGCTTTGAGACAATTGGGATGATTGTGATGCGGAATCTAAAATATCCGAAAAGCGAAATATTTCTTTCCTACGATTTAGGGCACATGTTCTGCCTGAAACTACGTGTTACGTACGCGAATGAAGGCATAATTGTCTGTCTTATATATGAAGAGAGTCGGACAATTGCCATGACATTCTTCTCGTCACTTCTTGTCACTAACCGTAAAGTCCGGGGTCGTTGAAGTGGTCGGCAATAGATAGCCGACGGAGCGACTTCATATAAAAAGCTCAGTTCGGGATCGGGAAGCGAAAGTACTCCTGAAATTATCGCCGTATCACGAAAGTATTGGCATTATGATGTCAAGATGGCATAAAGTAAATACATGACGATAACGTTTAAGCAGTGGAGGCTGGATTTTCTATCCGTTTAGCTGTGCGAAAGTACAGCATCTATGAGTTATTCAATGTAACAGTACTTGTGATGAAGTATAGTTTTGAATGGCTTTTTACAAACTCGCGTAATTAGTATGTCGGTAATTGCTAAGCCCCGAATGCAGCAGCCGCTGATGATGGGCCATTGTGTTCGCCGACACCTTACTTCGCGGAGAATTGTAATTACCGCTAGTTGGCCAGGATTCGAAATAACCGGGCATAACGAAGAAAAACATCATTTATTGGAGTCGCAACAATGCAATCCTTTCACGAGTCCATGCCTCATATACCCGTCTTGCAATTTGTCGTATGGTTCAATTTCATCAACCTTGATTGCAGCAGTGCGTTACCTCCTAGCTACGCCGCACAAAATCATCATGGGATTCTTTTACAGTCAACTCTTCAAGAGCATCCCGTACCCGACAGGCTCTTACACCGGCAAGACCATCATCATCACAGGTGGTAATGGCGGTCTTGGCAGAGAAGCAGCTCGCCATTTTGTACGACTAGGCGCCAGCAAAATGATTCTCGCTGTGCGCAGCTTGACCAAAGGCCATGAGGCCAAGCTAGACATTGAAAGCACGACTGGATGCGGGAAGAAAGTTATCGAGGTCTGGGAATTGGACATGGCTCTATATGCGAGCGTGCAGCAATTTGCCGATCGTGTGGTCCAGCACCTTGATCGAGTGGACATCTTTCTTGCGAACGCGGGTATCGCGCCGGCTCAATACAAGACAGCCGAGGACAATGAGGCATCCATTACAGTCAATGTCGTCTCGACGTTCCTCCTCGCGGCACTCGTTATGCCCAAACTCAAGGCCACGGCGGCCAATTTCCATACTCGGCCCACGCTGTCCATCACAAGCTCGGCTGTCCACGAGCACACCACTCTGCCGCAGAAGTCATGCCCAGAGGGCCAAATTTTCGCAACAGTAAATGACAAAGTCACGGCGAATAAATACTGGGCAGATATGTATGCTGTTTCAAAACTATTCGAGGTGTTTGGTGTCCGCGCCCTTGCCGAGAAACATCCCGCAGAAAGCTATCCCGTTACCATCAATTGCACAAACCCCGGTTTGTGCCATTCTGACTTGGGCCGCGAATATAATGGCTTCGGATTTTGGCTGCTTAAGTTATTAGTAGCACGGTCGACCGAGATTGGCGGCAGAATCCTCGTTCATGGTGGAACTTCAGGCGCGGAATCCCATGGTCAGTATTTGGATGATTGTGAAGTCGGAGCTCCGTCCCCATGGGTTCTCAGCGAGGAAGGCCAAACGACACAGGATCGCGTGTGGAAAGAGTTGGTAACGAAACTTGAGAGTATTAAACCAGGAGTAACGAGTAGCTTTTGATTAAGGTAGTACGAGTCGGATGCGATTGTTGTGTCTTGCAACTCAGATTCAATGTCTCTGATAGATATTAGAGGAATAAATTCTCAGCTAGTGACATGTAATAATCGCAATTATATTCCCAACAAATTGTTATCTTGTTAATGATAGTGAATGACTAGTATACCACCATACACTGCGTCTCTTTTTTTTTTGGCACTCCCGCAGAATAAAGAAATAGCCGCAAACGGCCTACAAGCTTCACTCTAAGACCAATCCCCATCTAGTAAATCTTCAACGCGCCTACCGTTCTCCATTTCCTTGTAGACTTCATTAATTGTCCATGGCACAAACTTATGACCGGGCGGGAAGTTTGTATTCTCGAACGGCACCCCGGCAACGATATGAGCAAAAGCTTGACTATACTTCTCATAGGCATACTTTTCAGGGTCATGATTAAAAACCCACTTCGGAAAGCGGGTTTTAACCTTGACGGGATCCTTCCAGATAGCATCCCAGTCTGTCTCAGTTTTGAGCTGGGAATTTACGAACGTCATTTTCTGGGCGCAGGATACTCGCTGATAACGAAGTAGGTTGTAAATCTTGGTCGCCATTGGCACAGCGCGAGATGAACCTCCCAATTGCAAACATGTAGCGAGAGTAATAGCGTCCTCAAGAGCCTGCGTGGCCCCGTTGCCGGACGTGGGGGTGAAGCTGTGAGCGCTATCGCCAACTTGCACCACACGACCTCCAGGCGAAGTCCATTCCTGGCGCAAGTCACGCCAGAGCAATGGCCAGTGGACAATGCCCTTTTCCGGTGAGCTGCGAATAAGGGCTGGAATAGCAGGGTCCCATCCAGGAGCTCTCAGAAGAGCCTTCACAACTTCTTCTGCATCGGTATCTGGCTCCCAAGTCTCTGTTGGTGTGCCTACCGTATCTCGAGGCGTAAATCCCCATCCAACAATCTCGTCTGAGACCCAGATCCCAATGTACATTCCGGGACCAAGCCAATACTCCCACATTGCAGGTGAATCGCCCCATCTCTTCCGGACCAAGTCACTCTTCATAGCCATCTCCCGTGGAAACGATATGCGATATATAGACATACCGCTGGACTGGGGAGGTTCAACATCCCCTCGACAGACAAGCGATTCAGACCTCGACCTCAACCCGTCTGCGGCAACAACCACATCGGCAAGGTGAATATCTCCATTTTCGAGCATAACACCTCCTTTGTTAGAGATGTTATCCTCAAAGTATCGAGCGACTTGTTTCCCATAACTGACTTTCAATCCCAGTTTGGCAACCTGGCGGAGTAACATGCGGTAGAACTTTTGTCGAATCTGAGCCGCTGCGACGGGAGGGCCTTTGCGGGCAGCGACAAATTCTGGTTCGTTAAAATTTGGAATAGTAGGCCCGTATATATGTTCTCCGCTGTGTCTTACATATTTAACACTGGCATCAATTTGCTCTTCTTCCATATCGCGCATCAGGTCTGGCCAGTGTCTGAATACCGACACAGCAGAAGGCTGAATGACAATGATATCGCCTACGCAGTTGTCAGAATAGGATACTCACTGAGAGAATAGAAAATACTTGCCTGAATAAACAGGCCCATCTTGTCTCTCTAGGATTCCAACAATGTTATGTCCCTTTCTCCAGCATTCCAGCGCTGACATTAGGCCGCCCATGCCGGCACCAACAATCAGCACATCGATGCCGGTCCCTGGATGCTGTTCTGGCAGCCTTGAGCTACCCGGTTGTTCGTTGGGTCCAATCTGACGAGAGGAATGATTGGTTATCCATCGCTCCGGATCAAACTCGTGCCTATCACCGGCGACGTTGTGGCCAAACAGCAATGGTGACATGATTATGAACGTATCAGAATGTCACTGATTGTGTAAACAGCAAGCTTTCAAGGCCCAGAAACGGCGAAAATTTCCTTTCTTGATGTCTTCGTTTATTCATGATAAGAAGCCAGGAGACCGTAGCACGCTCGGGATTTGAGGTATCACTTTTCTGACCGCGTCAAATGCCCGAGGTGCGGGCATTTTTTAAATCCCGATAGGTATTGTACCAGGTGTAACAGCTTTGTAGCGCATTTACTTGATTTCATTTTGCCTCTCCTTCTTCTTTGGCCTTTTTCATTTTGAGTCTGTGTTCTGGACATTTTTTGTTCTTTTCGCTTTCGAAATATTTGCCATTGCAGTCACACATATGGCTCATCAGGCGTTGGCCATAGAGGAAATACCTCTGAAAAAGCACAAAGGAGGTTACATGCAAATTAACAAGGCTCTTGATCTCAGCTCATTTCAAGATTATCTTGAAGCTCAACTGTCTCATTTACCCGCCATAGCGGATGTAGAGAGAATCAGTCCTAGAGTCATCCGAGTGCTGGGCCAAAATGCCGGAATGGTAACTGGACCAATATGTCATGGGCAGGAACTAAGACTAACGGAAGATAGTTCACGCTTCAAGGGACCAACACTTACATTGTTGGGACTGGTCGGCACAGGATTCTGATCGATACGGGCCAGGGTATTCCAGAATGGGCAGAGCTGTTGTCTACTACCCTCGAGGCCGAAAATGCCTCATTGTCCTACGTACTGATATCCCATTGGCATGGCGATCACATGGGGGGAGTACCCGACTTGTGTCACCTTTACCCCTATCTATCCAACTCCATTTATAAAAATTCACCCGGTATAAACCAACAGCCAATCGCGGACGGCCAGCTATTCTCTGTCGAAGGCGCTACGCTTCGTGCAGTCCACTCGCCTGGTCATTCACATGACCACATGTGCTTCGTTTTAGAGGAAGATAATGCCATGTTCACGGGAGACAACATACTCGGCCATGGAACAGCGGCCAACGAACACCTCAATACTTGGATGGAATCTCTGCGCGTTATGTCCATGCACAATTGTAAGATTGGTTATCCAGCTCATGGCATGGTCATTGATAACTTGCCCGGAAAGATTAAGAATGAGCTAGCTGTCAAAGCCAAGCGCGAGGTCCTCGCATTGCAAGTTTTACAGAAGATTAAGCTTAGAGCAGGAAAGGGAAAAGGGAGTGTCACAGTAAGGGAACTGGTCACAGAGGCTCATGGGGATCGATTGGACGAAGCCGTGAGAGAGATGGCGATTCAACCATTGATGGAGGAAGTGTTGAGGAAGCTGGCCGAGGACCAGAAAGTGGCATTTGAGGTTAGGAATGGAGAGAAGAAGTGGTTTCGGATTCAATTTGATTAGTGTCTATTGGTTGACTAATTCCTGCCCCTGGGCTCGATATCTTGAGGTGGTTTGGTTAAAGTCGTTGTGTCTTGGGTCTCTTGCGAGTCTCTTGCTGTACAGATCTAAATACAGCAACCCCGTGGAGCGTACTCAGCCTGTCCACATGCCATTTGATACTAAATGAACAAACCAGTCACCTCAGTACACCAGATTCCAGTCAGGGTTGTTACATTCTCTGGCAACTGGTTGGTTTAGGTCGGCTGGTTCTGTCGTGGATACCCAAAATGGAGCCCATCAATAACATAATTTATCACAGAGAAAGATAAAATAAAGCATTTTAATGATAATTTGACTGTCTATATTTCACGAAGCTAGAACATTATCAACCTACAAAATGCAAAACGCAAAAGTATGACTTCAAGTCAGCCCTAGAACTTAGTGTCAGGCTAGCCCCACTACGTGATTAACCCCAAACCTTCGGATCCCGACATATTCCCAATTTGGCTGTTGCAGATGGCCGACATCAAGGCTTGCAAGGAAACCATGTGTAAGCCCCGATCTCCGATGCATTCTTGGTCCGAGCACTGCGTCGAAGTTGTTTGTCTGTATGATGAGGTCCTTGAGTTGGATGTGCAGTATTTTGCGCCTGCCGCCAAGTGCAATGTATTACGATGCTTCAATTGAGAATACACGCCCCGTTTCTTTTCAAGAGCAGAACTATATATATATATATGCGCGTATGTATATATGACTCTCCAAACTACTCATGTTATATGTACAGGCGTTAAAACGTAAGGCTGTATAGTTCAATAAATCGTTAAGCACCGCCACGATGGGCACTTCAAGACTTGTGACTGTCTTTGGTGCGACCGGAGCCCAAGGCAGCGGCATAATCAACACTGTTTTGTCTTCCGTAGACTTGAAAGCAAAATACCGTCTCAGAGCCGTCACTCGCAGTCCAGACAGCGCCAAGGCTCTGGTTTACAAAGAAAATGGTGTGGAAGTAGTCTGGGGTGATTTGAATGATGTCGAGTCTCTCAAAACTGCCGTCAAAGGCTCTTATGGAGTCTTTGGTATGACCGATTATTGGTCCATTCACTCCCAGGACATCGAAATGCAACAGGGCAAGAACCTCTTCGAGGCCGTGAAAACTGAGGGCGTTCGACACTACATCTGGTCATCCCTACCGTGGGCTGAGAAACTCACAGGGGGAAGGCTGACCCAACTGCCATACTTTGACGGGAAAGCCATCGTGGAAGCCCACATAGAGGAAAATAAGGAAAATATGATTGTATCCTATTTTATGCCAGGTAATTCTAATCAATTACTTCCAACGCCGTTCCGGCGAACAGCTAATCATTCTTTAGCTATGTTCTTCAGCTTCATCGAAAACTTAATTCGTGGAGGCCAGAACAATGATCCACACTTGACACTTCCAGTTTCATCTGATTCTGCACTTTGGCCATTTATTGACCCTCCACGAGATGGCGGCAAGTACATCATGGGCCTATTCGAAGCTGGTAGCAAGAGCAATGGCGTAAGGGTCAACGCTGTAAGTTGCTGGACAACCCCGAGGGAGCTTGTTGCAACCTTGAGCAAAGAGGGAGGTAAAAATGTCGCTCTAAAGACTATTTCCCCAGAAGTATTTGCCAAAGATTTTCCTGATAACATTTCTGGCCAATTAACGGAAACACTCATCATGGCTATCGAGCACGGGGTATACGGAAGGGGAGAGAAAGAGAATCAAGACCACCACGACAAATGGCTAGTTGCAGGAAGTGACAGAAAGATTACCCTGCAAGAATGGATTCAACAAAATGGGCCTTGGACATTTGAAACAAGGAGTTTCTTTGACAATTTGGCGGCACAGAAAGCCAATGGTTTGGCAGAAAATGGGCACTAATCGGACAAAGGTTCCTCAAGTCGGGTGGTCACCGTATCGTATAGTCTCCAGATCCCGGCCAATAAAGATAATATAGAAAAGTTTCATACATTTAAATTAAGTATAGAAAGGAATATAAGTAGTGCATGATATAAAAGACACAGTCGATATACCCCTCCAGTCGAATTAAGTTTGTATCCCCAGCGTCTTGCAGGTCTCAACCCTAGTAGCCTATCCTAGTCTGATCCTAGAAAAATGACAATACTAATAACGGCCCATTTTCCGAGGAGGTACTTTCTCTGTGAAGAGATGGTCAATCTCACTGAACGTCTTCCCTTTAAGTTCTGGCACATACACCCAGCTTCCAATGGTACCAATTATGGCCAATCCTCCAAATATGAACCCAACTTTCCCTCTCAAATTCCCTTTATCTGGATTGACCATATACGGGATAGCAAAGCTCATAGCTAAGCCACAAAGAGCCTGTGTTGCGGTCGCAAGAGAAATTGTCTTTGCGCGTAAAACTGTACTTGATGCCTCACCAAGGATAGTAAAGGCCACCGCACCAATGGTGAGAAAATAGACGAATGCGTAAATAACAGTGCTAGCGGCCTGGACCCACTTCGCAGCTTGATTTGGGACAACGTCCATTATGCCAATCAGTAGAAGTAGGGCCGTGAGGGTAACCATGCCGGACAGAAAGAGCTTCCGGCGACCATAACGCTCGACGATAAACCAGCTAACAATGTTACCAATGACGCCGCAGGCCGTGACACCAACCCCAAGATCAAATGAATTGGACACGTCAAGGCCGGCTAGCTGGAAGAAGTATGTCGAATAGCCAAGGACGAAGATGATGCCGACCAAATGTTGACATAGGAAAACTCCAGTTGAGATACCGGTACGAATTTTATTAGTTTGCTTAAAGCAGTCAATGAATCTTGCCTTCTTGGTTCCCTGGAGCTCCTCATGTCGGATGGTGTCCTCAATTTCTGCCAGTGTGCTGATTGCGTCATTCTCGCCGTAAAGTCTTGCAATGACTTTTTTCGCTTTTTCTATCTTATTGACCCGAACAAGATACCATGGACTTTCTGGAGATAGGGGTAGAAACACAAGAAGGAATAGAGCGAAGAAGATCTGTGTTGCAAAAGGCCCACGGTACGCCCATCGATCATCTCTCTCTCCAAAAACTTTGACCACAGAGTTGGATATGAGCTGACCAATGGCGATTCCAAGATTTACTCCAGCAGTTGCAATGCCTCGAAGGGCGACGGGAGCAAGCTCGCCAGACATCATGGGCGCCAGGCTAAGATAGAAACCCAGGCCGACGCCAAATACGAGCTTGGATCCCAGGAAGGCTGGGCGAGTAGAAGAGAAAATCTCGCCAATGCAGCCACCACTGCAGACTATGGCACCAATGAAGAGAGAGCTCTTGCGACCAATCCTGTCTGCCAGCCAGCTGCATATGAAGCCACCGAAAAATTGGCCAACGGTGCCAATGACGTTGAATGCAGATTGCCAATTGGCAGGGAGAATGGCTTCTCCATCGACAGTATATCTACATCATGTTAGTGGTGGACCCAAGCATATAAGCCGCGAGGTGGGGAATACCAACGTACCCAAAATCACGTCGAAAAGACGGAACGGAGATCATAGCGCCGTTGATTTGAGCATCAAAGCCCCTATTCTATCAGCTGATGCATCGGTAACCATCCTAAGAGAAGCAACTTACCAACCCACTGCGGCCATGGCCCAGTAAAAGCACCACCAGATAACGAGTTTGTGACTCTTCCAGATTTCGGCAATGGTCAATTTATGCTCTGGACGTCGGGCGCGCTGATCATTGCCGGTTGTGGCATTCTCGCAACTCTCGATCTCTTGGATGTCACTTATCTTTACATCAATTTCCGACATTTTGAATCATAAGCTCGACGCTGATTCCTGGATTAACAAGGAGGAAGATTGTGAAACTGTCAGAATGCTCAGACTGAGCTCAGCGTACTGACTTAATAACCTACCCCGTGGGGAAATCTGGGGAAATATGAGCTTATATCCATTTCGGTTTGGCAGCGGTTGTGATGTTACATCAATTACAAGCCAAAAGTGAGTTAAGACGCTCGATGGCAGAAATACGGGATGGCCGATTATGGTGGCTAAACGCCACTGCGCTTTTAAATGCGATATTCCGCTACCTGTGGGTCTCGCTATTTATCGCGTGGATGGCCAGCCAATTCAATAGTCCTTATGAAGATGGAACTGCCGGTTTTATTAGCTTCACTGAACAACGTGTGGGGTAAAGCCCTTGGCTAGGGAGTATGTAGAGATGGATCATAAAAGTGCGACACTCCGCATGAGCCTGCTTTGACTATGCTTGGTGACCCATTCATCCTCTCCGCAACCTCGATTCCGACAACTGCCCCAGTCTCAAACTACACGATTGCAGTTACCACGATGGCAGATATACCCATGTCAGAAGGCAATGTTGCCACAGACCAAGTAGATTTTGAGGAGGCATCTCCTGAACGCAGTACCGGCTCTCGGCCAGCATCGAGGGGAACTGCATTTTACAGTCGAAGACGTGCCGTGACAGCGTGCCAAGTATGCCGCGCTCGACGGACAAAATGCGATAATCGAAAACCCTCTTGCTCATTCTGCCTAAAGGTTGGCGCAACATGCATCCAGTCGCCTGTGGATCTTTCCACGTTTGACCCAGCTAGTCTGAAGATTCTTGAGCGTCTGGACGAATTGGACAAGACTATGAAGACGCTGGCCTTGGGAATGACTTCCACTCAGTCCAAAACCTTGTCAAACCAATCAGACGCTGCATCTAGCAGGTCGATTCTGGTTGAGCTCATCCCTCCGAGTCCAGAGTATATCATGAAATGGGACGTCTTGAGTGATCTCAGTCGAGAAATAAACGAGATTGGGGTTCCAGAGTCTGAGTCAGCCACGACATCTGGCCAATATTCCTTACAGTCCCTTCTATCGCCGAAAACAGACCTTGCCACTGAGCTTGATCTCCAGCGAGTCAATCATCTGCTAGATAACTTCTTTAATTATGCCCACGTGAAAAATCCCGTTTTAGATGAGCAAGCAACCCGTCGCATGGTTCAGTCTATTATCTTAAATGGTATTGACTGGTCTCCCGAATCTTGTCTAACACTTCTGATCTGTGCCCTGGGCTGTATTGCTCGTCCATTTGGACCGACTTTGGAGACGATGCCTGGGACAAGTGCATATGCTAGTGCTGAGACGCTCTTTCATGCTGCACAGCGACGCATTGGCATTGCATTTTGTTCCGAAGATATTATTTCTACACAATGTCTATTCCTATCTGGGATGTACATGATGTGTATATTTCAACCTATCAAAGCCTGGCGTTTCTTTGTGCAGGCACTTGCTTCCTGCCAACAACTACCATTCTTAAACTCGTTATCACCTCCGCCCTCATCGACGATATGCGATGGAAGCCCGGCCAGCCACTCCCTGGAAACGCTTCAGCAGGCTACCTACTGGTCCTCATGGAAATCAGAACGAGAAATGAGGAGCTACCTACGACCAACAGACTTCTCTCTCACAGAAGAAGAACTGGCCTTCTACCCACCATTTTTGCCGACGCCACCTAACTTGCAACCAGCGCAAGAGCTCGAGGCCAATAGAGACTCTTGCGTACCCAGACAGACTATATCTTGGTATTTTTACCTTGCCGAGATCTCCCTCCGACGGCTAGCCTCAAACCTGCATGCAGAAATGCTCCAGCTTAGTACGCACATATTGTCGGCTCAAGATGCCTTGGAGTCTCTTGCGGCAGCTGTGCCACAATATGAAGAACAAGCCCAAGACTGGATTTCTTCGCTTCCTTTGTGTCTGTCGTTTGATGCCCCTGCAGAGGAAGACGATATTTGTAGGTTTGTCCTCCGTGGACACGTAATCAATCTTTACGAACTTATTTACTGGCCGTTTATATCAACGTATCTGAGGAAGAATATGCTGACTGTCGAAGAGATACAAATTGGCATGCCTTTAGCAGGCTGGGGAATTAAGCGACTGGCACAAAAAGCACTAGACTATCATGCGTTGAGGATCACTGTGAATACACCAGGGTATAAACATCGTCACCATGGGACTCTCTTCATGATACAATCATGTTCAAGGAGCGCTCTAATTTTAGTGGCTGCTGCACTACATAATATTTCGAATACAGCTCAGAATAGCGCAAGAGGGGCAAATATTTTAACGCTACCTTATGGTTGGCGGACTGGTATTGATGAAACCGTTGACATGTTGGAATTTTGGGAAAGGGAATTTCCGCAATTAGTCACCACAAGACAAGAGTTGCAGGCGGCTCGGAAGAAGATTCCGTGAGCTATTGAGTTATTCAATCGTCATTTAGCCTAATATATCTCGACGTCAAAGTGCTATTCCTTTCTACGTCACATGAATCAGCTCAGGGTAATGTCTCGAATATGGTGCCACTTCTTTAGTTGCGGAACGACGTCGAAGAGTTAACGGCTAAATTAAGTGCTGAGGAGTATATTCATTAACATAGCTATCAGAAGGTTCGCGCATGACTCGATGGCTCCGTATTGTAGTGCAAAGCCGCCACTATATGTACATTGTACGCCACCGTTATTGAAGAGAGATTCGATCAGCCCCACTTGTGCGGAATATCGCATTAGACCCCAGACTTGCTTGCTTCGATGGCAGTGCTTTTGAGAACTAACTAAACCCCTGAGTTCCGTATAAGATGGCATCTTTTTCTGTAAAATATCACTCAGGTTTATCACCGTCGTTATTAAATACAAGAATCAACACAGAGACGCCTACAATGTCCCCTTCGGCAACTCAAGATGCGGCAACCAGCCGCTCAAATGCTAAACATACTCATCCACCGTGTACCATGCTACGTGTAAGCGGCACAAATATTGTCAACTTGGCCGGCGATGAAGTAGTCCTCAAGGGTGCAGGTTTAGGCGGGATGCTTAACATGGAAAACTTCATCACTGGCTACTCGGGGCATGAACACGAGCATCGGGCTGCATTAATAGAGGTTCTCGGCCAAGAGAATGCCGAGTTCTATTTTTCTCGACTTCTCCACTACTTCTTCACTGAGGCAGATGCAGAACTCTTTGCTTCTCTTGGGCTTAACTGTCTCCGTGTGCCGTTCAACTACCGGCACTTTATGGATGACGATAATCCTAATACTATTAAAAGTTCGGGATTTGAGCTCTTAGACCGAATCGTTAATATCTGCTCAAAATACAACATATATATCGTTCTGGATTTACATACTGTTCCTGGTGGTCAAAATCAGGACTGGCATAGTGATTCTGGCTTAAGTAAAGCCTTATTCTGGGAATTTCGGGACTTCCAAGATCGTGCCATTCAACTTTGGGTGGCTATTGCAAGTCATTATACAGGGAATCCTGTAATTGCAGGATATAACCCCCTCAATGAGCCGGCAGATTCTCAACATACTCGCCTTATATCGTGGTATGAGAGAGTCGAAAAAGCAATTCGAGCTGTTGACCCAGATCATATGTTGTTTCTAGATGGAAATACCTATGCAATGGATTTCTCAGCGTTTGATGCAAAAAAAGCTTTGCCAAATACGGTATATAGCTGCCACGACTATAGTATGATGGGTTTCCCTCTCCCAGAACAGTATAACGGGACAGAGAAGCAGAAGGAGAGGCTGCGTACCAGTTTTAGGCGCAAAGTCAAGTTTATGAGAGAAGCAGGTGTGCCAATATGGAACGGTGAATTCGGCCCTGTGTACCAAGATCCAAGGATAGATCCAGATGCCGAAACAACTAATGCTAAGCGCTTCGCGTTATTACAAGAGCAGCTTGCAATATATAAGGAATTCGGTGGCGTATCGTGGAGCATCTGGCTGTACAAGGACATTGGCTACCAAGGCATGGTGTACCTTGACCCTGGGAGCCCATACATGCGCCTTATTGGCCCATTCCTTGAGAAGAAACAGCGCTTGGGGCTGGATTTTTGGGCCTGTGCCGACAAGACAAAGATAGACGCTGAAGTCTATCAGCCACTCATTTCAAAATTGAAAGAGATGATTCCCGAGCACTTTCAACAAAAGAAATACCCAAAGATTTGGACTTTTGATAGGCAAGTTGAAAGGGTAATTAGAGAATGCCTGATGAGTGAGTATCTGGGCTGGGAGCTTGCTGAGGCCTTTAGAGGGAAGACAAAGGAGGAGTTGGAGAGCTTGGCGGGTAGTTTTGCTTTAGAGCAATGCTTGAAACGAGATGAGTTAAACTGGATACTGAAAATGGACACAAGAGTAAAGAAGGAATCTCGATAGTTGGCGGTTTTATATTACGGCAACAATAATTCATACTTCAGTTTCTTATTTAAATTCATTTCGCTAGGTATAGAGTGAATACACCGCGTTTGCCATATCATTCGCCATAGTATATAGTGGGATATATAATTGAGTTATCCCATAAAGACAAAAAGTAAGCAGAGACTGTACAATATTTTAAAATCATGGGCTTGAATTATTAATTGCACTGAAGGCTGAAATCTACCGGACCGAAATATCCATGTCACAGTAGTAACCCCGCATTCTAACGGAGCTCATGCCTGATCTCTGCGGGATTCAAAGGAACCCCAGATAGTTCGTATCTATGGCTCTCCACATCTCCAGGAGCCTCAAGGACTGTTCCGCCTCGGTCGTCGAAGCGCTTCGATGAATATTCCTAAAGTGACTTCAATTCTGGCGCTCTTTCGTCCTGTGAGTTCGGTTGCTAACAAGATTTTCTGAAGAATAAGAATAAACCCAGCCCTAGCCACGCCGCCAACGACTCCGCCGGCAATTGCTCCGACAGGAGTGTTTCCAGAGGATTTATTATCTTTGAGGGTGTAGAGGTTGTGCTTATAGTAGTAGTACCGGACATGCCAGCAGATGAGGCTGTAGTCGATTGTGTAATTGTTGAAGTTATTATGCTACTCGATTGCGAAGAAGACGGAGTCGAGGTCGTCGATGAATTCGTGGGGTAGCAGCATCGCCTGGTGATAGCCTCCATGCCCTCGCGCCTTATACCTTCCCAGCAGAGCTTCCGTCCTACAGCAGCTGATTTACGCAGCAGTATGCCCTTCCATGCGCCCACAAGATCCTTAAGAAGATCGAAGCCAATGAGGCACTTTACAAGAAAGATATCCACCCCCAATGATGATTAACTAAGCCCTTAGCACAATTTCTTTACAATTTCTATGAGAATATTGCTGATTAGATTGCCCTAGGATATGAAAAAGCCCCTGCTTTAGATCCGCAATCCTAATATCATTCAAAGCCTTGTGGGCCGGCCTCGCCTTCCCAACAACAAGAAGATGACTATGCCCTCAACCCTCAAGACAGATAACAGCAAGGAAAATCAGCAGGAGCAGCAGCTACTAAAGCAGCCCTAAAAGCGCCAGTTAAAGCCAAGGGTGAGGCGCGGTGCCTTAAAATTTAAGGTTAAAGGAGGGACAACTTCAAGCCAGGGTCAAGGCCAGTCCTCTTCTTCTCAGTCAACGAGAAGTTCGCGCTCACAGCCAAGTTCACAGGCAAATAGAACTACAAAGGGACGGGCCAAGGGGATCAGGAAACAAGCTATCTGCTACGAGACTGGCTACTATAGCTGCCGCCGCCTTGGAAGTTAAAGAGGTTATCCTGGGAACGCCGCCCGAAGCCACGCGACTAGATGAGCCGGATAAACTAGCCGACCGTGAGATAAATAGATTCGATAAAAAAACACTAGAGAATACGTAATTGAACAAATTGGCCAGTCTCAATTTCCCTATGACGATTTTCTGTTGCCTATGGCTATGTGAATTTAATAGGAAGTATAATATACACTGCTGTGTTAAAGGTCTCTTGTGGAGTTAGTGCTTAGCCTACCCTTAAATATAATATTAATGTTAAAATATTAAAAACTAGCTTAATATTAATAATATATAAATAAAAAATATTATTCTAAAAAATATAAATATAATTTTCAATTTAATTTTAAATTATTTATTATAAAATTATTAAAGTTAATGAATATAGTATTTATGTTTTATTAAATTATATTATAATTAAAATATTTAATAAAATATAAAACCCTTTAATAAAAAAAATATAAACAATATTTTTGTATAATATTTTATATAAAGTTTTATAATAAAATAATTTTTAAAAATTAATAAAATCTTTTAGTATAATACTTTAAATTTAAAATATTAAGTAAATTTGTAAATTTATATAAAATTTATAAAATTTATATTTATTATATAAACTTTAAAATTTAATATTTTTTTAAAAAAACGGATTGTATATTAATTATATATATATTAATATATTAAAAATAAAATTTTACTTTATTAATAATTGAGTATTGCTATTCGGGCAGTAGATTTTTGCTATTCGGGCGGTATTCCCACCTAGACTAGCCTATTTTAGCTAGATTCAGCAGCGCCCAAGCCAGCCCACNGTTTGAAGCTACCTGCGTTGATGAAGGTCACCTAGATTGATTGCGGTCAGCCGGTTGGTTAAAGTCGCGATAGCTTTAAATTGCACCTTCTAGCTAACTGTATACTGTTTTACCTTTCATAACCTAACACTGTAATTTAGTGTAAAAAGCTGGGCTGCATAAGCCTAGGCTATATTAGGCTAGGCCAGGTGGGAATACCGCCCGAATAGCAAAAATCTACTGCCCGAATAGCAATACTCTAATAATTTTAGCTTATTTGTAACGATCTGCTATACTGTTAAGCCAAACAGGGCAAAAGATTACGCCAATAACCACTATTGTAGCAGTTACTGTAACAGAACCAGCTGCTTTATAAAGGATCTATCAGTAAACCAGGTTGTAATATTATTATTTTTAAATTAAACTTTTTTAATTTTTCTTTAATATATTTTATTTTATATTTATTATAATATATTATATATTTTATTTTTTATTAAAAAAAAATCTATTTATAATTACTATTAAAAAATATAATTTTAATATTTTAGTTTATTTTAATAAGTAGGCTAATAATTATTAATGTTTAAAAAGTATAAGTTTAGGTAGATTTTGGTGTCCTGTAAGCCCACAAGAGACTTTTGACACCCCACTGTACTAGTGCGCGACACTGTAATTTAGTGTAGGTGTGTGGCAATTAATATCTTGGGGTGAAAACAGGCACTGGTATAAGCCATATCTGTTCAAGTAGGAATTTTTATCTGTTCAAATAGGAAATCTTTGTTGATTTAGCTGTAGTACTCTTCTAACCAACTACGTAAATGCCCAATGGTGGGATACTCAAGGAACAGACTTCCTCCCACAACAACACCAAGTTGCTCACGAAACTTCTCTGCAATAACTAGACTCATCAGTGAATCGACGCCTAAGTTTGCAAAATTAGCATCGTCTGTAAGATCGGCAATGTCAATAGCTGATTCGTTGCTAATAATCTTAAGTGCTTTGGCTGTGGTAGTCTCGGAATCAGACTCTGATGCACCAGCATTGCTGTGAATTGCCGTCCCATTCACGGTTGGAAGTGGCTTGGCCTTGGATAGACTTGTCTCGACAGTCGGCCTTTGTTTTACCAACCTCGGAGCCTCTATATTGACGGCGATGGGCTTTATTAAAATCGGTACGTGCGACTTTGTGTGAGCAGTCTTAGTTAAGGATGACATGGCAGTGGGAGCATTTGAGTCATCTGGTGCAGAGAAGAAGCGACTGAGTAAAATACGAGGATATCGGCAGAATTTGATGCCGTCAACCTTGCCCATGATGATGCCATTCTGGAGAATGTACACGTCGCCCAAGTACACGCTTGGATCCTCCTCTGTTGGAATCATTTTGACATAGGACTGATACCTGCCACCCGGGACCAAGGGTTTGGCAAAACACATAGAGCCCCAGCCTGGCGTGACGCAGAAATTGTTCTTTGTGTCCACAGCATCTGAAACATTCATGACAAAGCCAGCCAGGTGGGCAACACTATCAATAAAGAATGGCGGTACAGTCCAGTTACCACCCTTTTCAGTGGAAAGAGTGATATCTGCAAATGCTTCCAGCTCATGCAGAACAACTGAATGCATGCCACGGTATTTAGTTGCGTAATCGACCAGATTGTTAGCAAACAGGAGGTACGCCATGTTGTGATTGAAGCGATTGGCGATTCCAGATTCGGCCATTCTCTCAAGGTCTTGAATACGACCTTGGATGAGATGCGCTGTGGATATCCATGAAGTCATCCAATTGGCAGGGTCGCCATATACGATGGTAGCAGTAGCAAATTGTTCGAGATTGATGCCGTCGCTGAGCACATTTGACCATGTCAACTCGGCCATATGGGAGGCAATGTCCGGAGTGGTCACTGAAACTTGAATGTACTGATGACTGTCCGGATTGTTGTGGGCTACAAGACCTTTGGTAACCTCTAAATTGTTGATGCTCATGTGCACCTGCTTAGCTTTAGGCATGAGTTTCTTGTATAGATATTCACCAAGAGTATACGAGATGTCGGCATGAATGGACTTTTTTGGAAGATTAGTAGAGACTCAAGAGCGTTGGAAATACAGGAAATACACTCACAGATGTAACCACCCCGCAATCGTTCATCTTGTGCCCCCAGGCCGCAGTGCGGAAGTCCACTTGCATCACATCAGACTGCATTACAACAGTGCCAGATGTTCCGTCAAGCCTCTGTTCGATAATCTGGTGCACAGTGGAAGTTCTGAGACCGGAGATTGCTACAGGGCGAGTTCTCCTAATCTTGTTCGACCCCTTTTCTTCATCGTAGAAAGTGTTGCCTTTGGTAAGCGCCCAATCACCATTGTACTGAATCCAGTAAGTCCTGTCATTCCATGCATAGGTTGGTAGATCTAGAAGCTGTAGGGCCTTCTCAAATGGTCGGTGAAACTCGGACCAACCAATATTTACCCCGATACAATGTAGGGATGCAAGGCTCTGAGACATTGTGGCCCAATTGTCCTCGCCTCGTCGAAAGGAGGGGATGACCTCGTTTTTTGGCGATAAGGTGGACTTGATAAAGCCAAGGCAGACAGGGTGAGGTCCAATTTCGATCCAAACAGTCTCGTCGTCAACAGTACCAATGTTGTACGCTGCTTCAAGGGCCGATTTAAAGTTGACTGCTTCCCTGGCAGAGCGGCGGACATAGTTGGCGTTGACTGTTCTATCATCGAAGATCACCTTGGAGAGCAAAGGAGATATAACAGGTATGTGAGGCTCTTGGAAAAGAACACTTGATTTGGCGAGATGTTCAAAGTCATGGAGAACCGGGTCTATCTGTGAAGAGTGGAACGCAAATGCAACGTCGAGACTAAAGCACTTATATCCGTCCCCTTCAAGGCAGGGAACGATGGTATCCATCTCCTCTGTAGGACCACTAAGCACCGTTTCCTTTGGGCCATTAACACATGCGATTTCGTATGTTTTGCCTTTGGCACTTTCCTCAATTTGAGAGAGTGAAGCACGCACTGCTACCATCTTATGACTGCCAACCTGACATTTCTGCTCGAGGACGCTGGCTCTTCGGCCAACGAGGAAAATGGCATCGCTCGCCGATAGGACACCAGCGACATGCAGCGCAGCATATTCTCCCAAGCTGTGTCCAATAACAACATCAGGTTTAACGCCTAATGATCCCCAGTACTTCGCCAAAGCAATCTCGGTGCAAACCTGGGCCACTTGCGTGATAACTTGTGAGTGCTGATATTCCCTAGGGTGACTTCCGTCAATCGCAGGAATAAAACTTGAGAACCCTTGGCCTCTGGAAATGGCATCCAAATGTAAAATCTGTGACCTGAAATAGGGAGAAGTGTGGAATAGTTCGAGGCTGGAAGATTTATATGCAGCTCCCTGGCCAGTAAACGCGAAGGCAACAGACGGTGGTCCGGTTGCTGGAATCGGCTTACGAGAGTCAACAGAATCTAGAATTGATTGAAGCTTCTTCTGTACCTGGGGAACGGAAGAAGCAGCGATTGACACGCGGTGGTTATGATGGTAACGACGAGCTGTCAGGGAATAAGCGAGGCTGGCGAGAGGGACATCAGGATTCTGCTCTATATAAGCAAGAAGTCTCTGAATGTTCCCACGGAGTGAAATCTTGCTTTTTGCCGATATACAAACGACATGCGTGGAGCGGGGGTCTGTTCCTGTAATCTCACGCGTTGGTGCGTCTTCGATGAGAAGTGACGAGTTACCTCCAGCGGCACTAAAGTTGTTCACGGCAGCAACGCGTCTTTTGCCTGGTGTGGGAGCCCATGGTGTCTTCTGATATGGAATACGAATTTGTCTCTTATCTAAGTCATTCGGGAAAGCAGGATTGAGGCCATTCTTTATGCCGACGTGTGGAGGTATGGCATTCTTCTGAAACATCAAAAGAACTTTGATCAATGCTGTAACACCGGCAGCAGCTTCAGAATGGCCGACATTAGATTTTACTGCCCCAATAAACAGTGGGTTTTTGGAGCTGCGTCGTCTCGTGCTTGGTGAGAATACATTCATCACTGACTGGATTTCCTCTGTATCACCAGCTTGCGTTCCTGTGCCGTGCATCTCGACGTAGCCCACATCCAGAGGATCGACTCCCGCTCGATTCGCTATCAGCTTGCCTAAATATGCTTGATGGCCTGCATGAGGGTGAGTTATGGAGATGGCCTCGGCTGAGTGATTCGTTGCTGCAGAGAGAATGACGCCAAGGATATTGTCATTATCAGCTTCTGCATCCTCTAATCGCTTCAGTACAACAGAGCCCACAGCATCAGCTCGACAGTAACCATCTGCCTCACTATCCCATGTCTTACAAGCATTAGGTGTCTTAGTCAAGAAATGACCGTGACTGAGACCTGCAAAAGCATCAGAGTTAGTCAAGACATTCATACCGCCTGCAACAGCGGTGTCTACATCCCCATTCCAGAGTGCTGTACAAGCAACCTGTAAATAGATTTAGTTAAATCCGGCCCCTCAATCTCCGAGTACATCAGGTCTTACCTGTATTGTTGCTAAACTCGATGAGCACGCAGTATCAATGCTATAGCTAGGCCCAGAAAACTTGAAGAAGTAATTGATCCGACCAGGACCGAATGCACGACATCCGCCAGGAATAAAATACGTGCTGATTTCCTGTGCTGTATTAACTTCCCGGTAGTCATCGCTCGCTTGGCCATAAAAGGTTCCGATACGACGCAGATCCGTGGCAGCTGTTCGATTTGCAACGAAGCCGGCTCTCTCTAGCGCTTCATATGCTGTAACAAGAGCAAGTCTCTGCATTGGATCTGTCTGCTCAGTTTCTCGAGGTGACATATTGAAGAAGGGGGCATCAAACAACCCCGGTTCGTCGATAAAACAGCCATACTGCGTGTGGCTCGTATTCACTCTTTTCCCAGCTGGGTCCCAATGGCTATCAACGTCGAATCTGTCGTCCGGGATGCGTCTGTGTACATCCAGGCCCTGTTCCAGGAGCTCCCAGAACTTCTCAGTATCAGTGGCTCCGCCAGGCATTCTGCAGGACATGCCCACAATAGCAATCTTGGATTGCATTGGCCCTCTTGGGCTACTACCTTCATGTACCGAGGGCTGGGCATGCACCCATGAGATGATTTCTTCGGTTGTTGTATTAAGGTCAGGAACTTTCTGGAGAGCTGCCGAAAGATCATGTATGGGCAGTGAGAGCCGGAAGACAAGAAGCTGGCATTGCCTCGCGCTCCAATCCTTGGCTAGTTGGACTATACCTTGCATAACCTTATCCCATTGGATTCTTTCAGTGAGAATCTCTGTAATGATCTGTTTAAACAGCTCTTTGGCAGATGTCGCTGTAAAGGGCTCCCCGCTGCTGGTTGAGTAAATTGGTAGGCGAGGGGAAAACCTGGAGTTTAATGATTCCATTGAGGGCGTTTGAATGACCCAATTCGCATCATCTTCGTCGTATATATGCCTCGCATGACATAAACCTCCATATACAGGCAATTCTACAAATTTGTGATGGTGGAAAAACTGAGCCGTACGGAACATAGCTTGCAGTCTTGATGGTGGACCGCTGACCGTGACTGATGTTGCACTGAGGGCACTGATGAAGACTCTACTAGCTTCTGGAGTTTTCTAGATGTCTTGATCTTAGTAATGAGTATCTCAAGGATGCCACGTGGACAAACCTCTTTTTCATGGATCGAGTCCAGCTCGTGTTGGACGACATCCGCAGATACCTCAGGGAGCACATAAGCCCATGTATTTGGTGCACTGGTGCTCGTGAGGTCACGAGGCTGCAAATTTTGGGACACTTCATTCACTAAAATACCAAGTCGAAAAGCTTGTCGTATCACTTGAGCTCCGGTGGTTACGATATCTGGTACGGTACGGGCCAAAGACACGGCACCTGTTGCCAGAAGGCCGATACCCAAACCGGTGAGTACAGCAACACTCCCATTGTCCGTTCCGAAGGCAGCAGGATTTTCTTCGTAATATCTGGCAAAAAAAGAAATTAGAAACGCCCTCACAATGCCAGGTTGATTACTTGCCCAATGAGAGTTCCAAGCTCCAGGGTACAAAGTAAGATTCCATCGATAGCTCCGCAGAGTTGACTTTTTCGAAGATCAGCGAAATCGGCAATTGTCAAAATTGTTTCAAATGGGGGAATTAAATTTCTCAAATTTGTCGGTAGTTGGCTTAGTTCGTCACGGATTGCTAGTGTGGCTTCCTCTAAAAACCTGGCGAGAATGTGATGATGCCTGTCCTTGCTGTTATTGTAGAGTTTGCGAAATGACGCTTGCAAATCATCTTTAGGAAACTCATTACTAAAATAGAGGACCTTCATCTTGTCGAAATATGCATCATCTGATCGGGAAGGGGTGTAGATCGACATTATGCTGGACACAGTTGGTGTAATTGGTGCTAATGTTGAATTCTTGCGACGCTACATTAACCGCTATAGAGTGCCGCGATCTAGAACTTTCTGAGTTTATATATCCTTAAGTTAGTTATTCTCGTAAGCCGCTGGAAGCCCGAAAACAGCTGAATCGGTCATACTGCAGTTGGTACACCGGCGACGCAACGGTACGCAAAGGACTTCAAACCGTTCACAGCCTTTTGGCTCCCCTATTCCGACTTGTCACTTGGTCGGGTAATATACCGAGCCCGACACTTCCGACACCTCCATTCCGCAGATTACTCTCTCGGGTTCTTACAATGTCGGGCCATCAGTGTAAGAGGTGTCTCGGACATCAAAGGATACCCAGGCACTTCTTCTTTCACCTCTTCTTTCACTTCATGTGAACATTGACATGGTGCTTTTTTTTTTTTTTTTTTTTTTTTTTTTTTGCTATCCTACCATTCAAGGCATCCTTCTGGAGTTCTCATAGATATTGCGCTTGTTTTTATTTTAAAGCATGCCTGCTTTGACGGGTATTAGAAGTTCTGCGAGAATTTCAACTTGTGAACCGAATAGGTGTAGAATCTGACATTCCACTTGTATGTAAATGAACAATAAATACACTAGGCCCTTTGGCAACTTTTCAAGTCAATCACCATTTTAATATGCTTTTTAAGATGACCGTAGAAAATGAGAAGTCAATTTGCATGCTTAGAATTCTGATATTCTTGAATCTATGGATCCTCAACGTCTATGCCTCTGAATTCAAAGTATTCCTTCATAATTGGATCGTTTATGAGTAAATCAACAAATTGTTTCTCGAAAGGAAGCACAACTTCCACGCCCTGATCCTTGCCAGCATTCCCTTTATGCGGTGGGTACATGACTATCATGTTTTCTACTACCGTGTCGGTAATATTCCTGTAAGCCATGGGTTGGCCAATACCAAAGTCATTGTCACACAGCCTGAAATTTCTCCAGTCAGTAGTGGTGAATGACATTGGAGGGAGGGAATCGAGTGGCACATCAAGGCTCGACTTATCTCGAACCACGGCAAACCTTGCTACTGTATCATCAAGCGTTTTTTCGCTCACACTGTCGGTTATGGCTCTAATGTAAGCAGCTATTTGTGGGAGAGAGCTATCCGATATAACATCAGCCAAAGTGAGAGGAGACTTCTGATGATGTGAAAGCCCTGCTGCTAGTACATTTCCTTGGTATCTTGGTGAAATCTGCGGCGTACCTGAGATTATTCTGTCAACAGCCTGTTATCCAGTGCATAACCCCGGCCCTTGAAGAATTAGGTGTAACTCACAACGGCTACGCATATTGATAGGCTCGCCAAAAATTGCAGGCTCCTTCAACACAGGTCTGTACACTAGAGCCCTGTTTCTTGCTATAACTCTCCAGAGTAGAGCCGTCAATGCATCATAGCTTGAGATCCACGTCCCGTCTTTAGGCGATGCTAGCTTTTTCAGTGCAGCAGCCTTAGTAGGTGGAAGATGGAACAACAGCCAAGAACATGGAAGCCAGTCCGGGTGCCTGGGAGGCCGTGGAATTGGGCTTATCTGATCCTCCAACGCAATTTTGGGTGCAATGAAGCGAGACCTGTCCATGAATGCTTCATCCCAGCTTGGGGGAGGTGTTCCATATCGAATCGAAGAGCAATTATCAGCAATTTGACGAACTAAACTCGTCGTGCCTGCCATGTCAACTGCAAAGTGGTGTATGTGAATGGTTAGAATGAAGCCACCACGGATGAAGTTCAGTTGAAATCCGACAATGGCTGGGCTGTCATCTGGACCGCGAGCCGTAGGCATGCCGTCGATGCCCAAAGTTGCGGCACTTCCAAGACACCGGCTTGAGAAGTTCTGTCTTTCAAGCTCTGAGTACGATGGATAGTCATCACCAGTGCCATTGAGCCAGTGAAATACAAGCTCAACAGTACTATCAGGCTTTGTGACAATCGAGTAGTCCCCATGCTGGTTCTTCTCGACCGTGCCAACCAAATGGCGGCATTGCAGAAGCGTTGCGTCAATCGCCTGTTTGAACGTTTCAGCAACAGTCGTTTCATCGGCGTTATCTGACTTAAAAATTATGGCATAAGTGTTGTAGTTTGGAGGAATGACGATGTCCAAGATAGACAGGCGAAAGGACTCTTCCTTGAAGCCATTGAACCAGAGTGGTTGGAGTTGATGAGTCACTTTTCTGCCCATTGTGACGAACTTGTGTTGGATAGGCCTCTCGATTCTCTCTCAAGCGTTTCGTGAAGCCAAGTTTAAGCTAGTAGCCTTGCAGTTATGTAGATAAGGATATCAGAGATACGCAGAACCTTAGGGGGATAGTGGAAGCGAAGGTGATACTTGTCTTCACGGGACTCGTGCTTTGTTTTCTTGGTGACCCTAGACAATAGAGAATAGGCTTCAGTTAGGTACTTAGAACATGGCCTATTAATTTTGAGAGAAATATGGTTAGAAACAAACGAATGCACGTAGCGTGTGAGCTAGAGACGTTCCGAGACGATTAGTGGCGCTGTTTCACACCGCGATTGATGGACATAGGTAAAATTGACCGATGCAAACGCCGAAAATGTAGAATACAAAATTCTCAGGCAATTTAACCTGTCATTGGATAGACAGTTACTCCCTGACTTGGCCGATGACCGGAATCCGGATATTTGTAACGGGCTGACCGCTCAGTCGGAATCCGGTGCCTCTTGGAGCTCCGATCTTTTCACAATACAAGCAGACGGTGGCTCACATTTATCCCAGAAAAATCTTTGATTCAAATTAGCCATTTGAACATAGTGGAGAATAGTTCGTCTTTAAAATCTTTGCGAACATTGGTAATACAGTAATTTTCGGCTCCCTGCTCAATCTTCACAAACTAAACAGCCAGCTTCGCAAATATATTGACCCAAGCCATGTCTTCCAACGTATCAATCGCGCTCATTCTTGGAGCAGGACCTAACATTGGAGCCAGTGTCGCAGAGGAATTTGCTTCTAAAGGCTACAAAGTCGTTCTCACGTCAAGAAAAATCGCTGAGAATGCTAACCCGTCTTTTTCTCACATCAAAGGCGACCTTTCTCAACCCAACTCAGTCGTCGATGTTTTTACCCAAGTTCGGAAGCTTTACGGAGAGCCAGGCGTAGTTGTTTACAATGGTATGTCTCAAATGTCCCATTTGGAGCGTATCAGGGATTCTGACTGGATCACAGCTGGTGCGGTCTCTTTCGCGCCCAAGGAGAATACTTTCGATCTCGACCTTGGCACATTCGAGTCGGACCTTAACATAAATACCACGAGTGTATTTGTTGCGATTAAAGAAGCCCTAGCATCTTTTTCAACCTTACCCACTAGCGCTTCTCGAACTTTTATCTACACGTAAGTGGCAAAGCTGTGTCCAGCAGTTTCCAATGGTTTTAGTACGAGCCCAGCTTGTATGGGAACTCACTGTTCAAAACATAGTGGGAACGCGATGAACTTTGCATCCTTCGATGGACTCCTAACTTTGGGTGTCGGCAAGAGTGCAACTGCGCACATGATTGCATCCGCAGCTGCAGCATTTGCAGACAAGGGTTACAAGTAAGTTTCGCCACGTAAGAACAGTACCGACCTAATATTGATATTCCGCAGGTTCTACTATGCGGACGAACGGCGAACATCTGGCAAGCTCTGTGGTAAGGATATTAGTGGCGCGGCTCATGCCGAGCTATATGGGCAGCTCTCTGAAGATAGGAAACAGCGGCCTTGGTTGCAGACATTTGTTAGAGGACAAGGTTATGTTGATTTCCCTGCTGATACCGTTGTTACTTTCTAAATCGCCAAACTAAGGTGAAGTAAGCAATTACGGCGTGTTCCGCCGACTTGGGAGGATAAGGCGTCTCTAATGTAGCAGAGAGATAGAACTGTTACGCTTGTGTAGTTGGTCAGAAACGGGAACGTGAGTTCAAACCGAATGAAGTAGATGTTCAGATCAAAGGCAACGTGTTAGCTAACCCACTGTGCATTCCTATAAAGAGATAGCTAGCTGGTGCAGTGTAGATGGAGAAAGTGTGCAACGAGTAAAAATGCAGCCATAATTTGCAAGAATCTACAGACCTTAATAATAACGGCACTTCTCCAAGTGCTGTAAAGTGGTGATGCCCTTTTTACCATTTAATTTACATTCTGTTTATTGTCTTGTTGAATAGATATAGTCAAAGAATTGATTCAGAATTGTCGTATCATCCGTTGATGTCACTTCGGTTAGAGGATTTGCACAAGTGCACTCGTACGGTATCTTGAAGTAGAAAAATGAACCTCCCCCCCTCTCCCCGGTGTTACATTGGTGTACAATTTGACTTCCATGTCGCTAGTGACGAGGGTCATGACCAATAATTCGATGACTGGTGCCCGCTCTTACCCTTTGGTACTACCGTCCGCCGGACGTAATACCAATGGACAGAGTAATCCGAGACTAACATCAAGTATTATTCAATGTACCATTATGGTATTCTAATTTTTAACCCTAGCTCCTGTACTCCGACCTTACAAGTAATCGCCGTTCGGTAGTATTGGGAACTCCGACGCCCGCTGATTGTCCTCGGAACCCTGCCTATTCTCAGCGGCACCATTCTTCATGCGCGTGTACTCTCTTGCCTGATCTCACATTTTACTCCTCTACTCGGAGAAGTACATGATTTATTTTTATAACTAATTGACAATCCTACTGTGATGTTTAGGTATCTGGGTCTCTAATGCCGGTTTTTACTTTCCTCGAAGTAATTAACTTCTATCGACTTTCTTTCAAAGTCGAAGCACTCCATGGAACCTACTCCAGACGTACCACCACGGCCAGAGGGGAGCCCAGGCACGCAATTCTTATGCTTGACCATCTGTGGCTACCGTCGACCTGGAATGAGCGAGACGGACTACAGGCACCATATGACACAGGTTTCAGCTCCCCTAACCAAGGATTTGATGGTCAAGTATGGTGTAAAACGATGGACTCAGGTTAGCAATCTCTTTTCCGCACACACCACTTGCTGTTATATATATTTCTCCATTTTCCAGCAGGACCATTTTCTGACTATTTGCAGATTCACAATACAGCCGCAACTCGGGCACTGATGGCTAAATTATATGACCATCAGATGACCAATCTTGCAGATTTTGACTGCTTTAGTCAGGTGGTGTTTAAAAGTGTAGATGACTACAAAAAGATGAAAGAAGACCCGTGGTATAAATCTCAATTGGTCAATGACCACGAGAAGTTCGCCGACACAAAGAGAAGCATGATGACGATTGGCTGGATTACGGAATTTATTAGAGATGGGGAGGTAGTGGACGGAATGAAGGATTGTTGACAAACGATCAATTTTGTAGAAGCATGCGATTTCTGTTCTAGTGTTTCAATTGCTAAACAAAGGAAGAGCATCACGTCGCTTGCCCAGTTCCTCCATCTTTAATCATGCGAGTGTTGCAAGTATCTTTCAAGAAGCCACGCCAATAATGAACCTTACATTTGCCGATCGACATGATTATGAACACAACATGCCCACAGTCATAGAATCAAACAGTTCGATTACATGAAGATTTCGGGCGCAATGTGGACATTGTGAAATTGTTTCCATCATTCAGCATTTGCATGCACGAATGTTTTCCCGTCTTCTGTCGCTGCACATGGACACGCATGGACAGTCACCACATAATGAGCTTGTAGCTTTCTGCAAATGCCCTAGGCTCGGCTATTAACCCAGCGCACGGCGATTTCACGTTGTAACCCAATATTTGCTAGCCGCCCTGAATTTTTTAGGTCTAGTTCGAGTCAAGTCGGAGTCCGTTGGCATGCCCACTTCTACTCGATATGCCCGACCAACTGAATGTTACTGTACACAGGCAAATATGCATGCATGCCGCTACTAACTCGTTCGTTCGTTCCGAGTCGCCTCCCTGAGCCAGGGCCGAATGTTACTGCAATTGGCCGCTCTTTTTGCACCACGCTATCCAGGTCCCGGCTTCACCATGCATCCCACCGCCTCGGAAGCTCGCGAACCAACACGGGGTGCTTCACTCCAGGAGTGGACGCTGCTTTCGGTGAACGGTATCTAGAAATAATAGAGAAGATCAATCAGGATTAAGTTGAAGACTTGGCCGAGTTATCCAGTTTTATTTGCTCCTGTAGGCTTATCGATTTGCGCCCAACACATCTGCAAGAGACAGGTTTAGCGCCAAAGTGGAAAAGGAAAAGAGAAAACAGCGACAACAACAATGGCCTCGTCAAATCGACCGTGCGGCCTCATTGGTCAAACTGGCATCGAACTCTTGACATGCAATACCCCCAATGGTGTCAAAATATCCATTCTGCTCGAAGAACTGAAAGAAGCTTATGGCTTGGACTACGTTTACCAGAATATTGACATTATGGAGAACATCCAAAAGGAGCCTTGGTTTACTAGACACTCTCCGAACGGCCGTACATGCTTCTTTGCGCAGCAACAGGGAAAATGAACCTTGACCACTAACCATAGTTGCATAGGTATCCCAGCAATCATAGATCACGATAGGGATCAATTTTCCGTTTTTGAGACGGCCGCAATCCTCATGTATCTGACACGGCACTACGACCCAGAGCATAAGTTCAGCTTCAGTGATATCAATGACATTTCCCGTACAGAACAGTGGGTTACTTGGCAACATGGTGGCCTCGTGAGTATTTACAATATACAACTGCGCTTCTTTTCCCCTTCAAGTATCTAAACCATGTCGGTGAAATCTAGGGGCCTATGCAAGGACAAGCGAATCACTTTTACCGAATTATTAAAGACGAGATACCTTATCCCACTCAAAGATACGTCGGAGAGACGGAGCGTCTTTACGGAGTTCTCGATACGCAACTGAAGGGCCGTGATTATCTCGTAGGTCCCGATCGTGGCAGATACTCTATTGCCGACATTGCATCTTTTGGATGGGTAAACACTTCATATTTTTCCGGTATCATTCTCTCAAAATTTCCAAATGTTGAACGATGGTGGAGGAAAATTAGAGACAGGTCGGCCGTACAGATAGGCATTTGTATTCCAGAGCCAAGCCAGGTCCAGAATGGGAGAATTCAGGAGAGGTTGGAGGAAGAACCACTGTTCAAGGCAGAGGATGACGACAGGAGAATGGCGGGAGATCGGGCCAAGAAGCAGTTCAACTACAAGTTTTCTTCTCCATGAATGGAATAAAGCATGGCAAATTCGACTGCTGCAAACACATGTGTGCGTCGCAGGGTACAGAGGCGGAATGAGTGATTTTAATGCTCTAAACAAGTTTATAAATCCGAACATTTCGCCAAGTAAATAATCCTATTTAACAGGAATAAAGCTTCTTTATCTTTATATTCTTACCTCAAGCTTAACGCGCTCATGAACCGAGCTCTCCATGTTCGCCAGCCAAGTGGCCAACCTTCTCGATGTACACCAGCGTGCAGTTTTACAGAGTATAATGGAATTACAAAACTCAAAAGCGGCGTTTCTTAAACAGAGATCTTGTCCTCTCGTCAGTTATCTCTTTTTCAGCAGTTTTATAGTGATATTCAAGCAACAATGGGTGCTGAAACAGAAATTCTACCGCAGTTTATTCATGGGAAGTTTTGAATCGTCCCTTCACAACAAATATCGTAGGCTTCCATAATATAGGTAGCCTATTCTTCCATACTTAGGCCTCCCAGAAAGAACATTGCAGAACAATTTGATTTTTAAGCAACATTATTTTACTATGGTGAATCCTTGCAGCAAATAGGCTTTGGCAGCCTTCCGATTTTGTCTCATAAGATGAAACCTCCAGTACCAATAGCTGAGTGTACTAGGCACAAACAATGGGTTCATCTGCATCTTTGAGGCTGGCCTCCGTCTGTGGCAACGAGCGGTTCTTCGTAGCTTCTGGTAGAGACTCGGTGAGATGTCTCCGTATTGGGTTTACATTTCTTCCAGATCTATCACTGGCAGAGATAGTGTTTTGCGATGGAGTTTCCGCTGACGTCTCCTGAGGTGTCTCATGAACCATCGTTCTCACAACTTTTCTTTTCTTCCACTGGACATTAACTTTGTGGAGCCTCGTCATGAATGCCGATCGTATTGGTCTACTCGCACCCGGCTGTGCATGACTCCAGCACAATTCCATCAATAAAAGCGGCAGCACCTTGTTCAAAATTGCTTGGGCCAGATCTGTTTCAGTTAGTCATGTGAAATATGTTCCATTTGAATAGAGTGATCTTACGTTTTCCAGGGCAAGAGCGTACTCCAACACCAAAGAACATGCTATTTGCTTCTGCTCCATTGTCAATTCACATACCCAGAAAACCATGACGCCCAAAGATACGCACCGCAGGCTTTCTGCTGTTCAGGAGACATTTCGAACCAGCGCTCTGGTCGAAAAGTGTCGGCATCTGCACCGAAAAGCGACTTATTACGCCCCATCACCCATGGATTGATTCCGATCGCAGTCTACGGCAAATAATTCGTCAGTACATCTCAAGGTTGGAAAGGGTATAGTAAAAGCTTACTCCAGCTGGCAGCCATTTCCCTTCCAACTCCATTCCTCCATGTGGTACAACTCTCTGTAGCGGACTTCCAACCGCAGGGTGCAACCTTTTGCTCTCGTTCAAGCAGGCGCTCAAGTAGGGCAAACTTTCAATCTCCGTCTGCTTTGGTATCTTGCTCAATTCCCCCGCTGCCCTCGCCTCGTCAATCTCCTTTTGGATTTTTTCCTGGCACCCGGGATAAGAGATGACAAAGTCAAGGAAGCTGGAGATTGCGATGGCTGTTGTTTCGACGCCGGCACCAAAGTTGGTTCCGAGCATCTCGGAAACCCAATGCGGTTTTAAAGCTGGCTTTTCAGCATGGATCTGTAGCAGCCTAGTTGCAATGTCGGTTGCTTGCGTAGGCAGATTTTCACTGGCAAAACTGTCGAAGCGGTCTCGGATGCGTTTCCTCATCCACTTTGGCAACCAAAGTGTCAGCTAATTCGGATAAGATGGTGACGGGATACTCACGATGAAAACATGCTCCGTCATTTGACTAGCCGGTTTGGAATGAATCGTGGCCTTTTGAGTCAGCAAGCTGGGGAGCATGGCCAAGATGATCCGCAACTTCGGCTTCACAATGATGTTGAACCACTTCCTTGCTCTGTGAAGACGGGGGACATACCCAACCCAATGCATGTAACCCCACAATCTCATGGTTAATTCGATTGATCCATCATCCACACCAGCTTCAAGAAGGCCCTTTGATTCCCCAAAAGTAGCGACTTGTAAACAATCTAAATCACATGAGTGGAAGAAACTACGAATCATACGGAGGTTGGGAATCTTACCAGAAGCGAGAAAATTGGCAACATGGTCAATATCTTCGATACGACCCGCTCGTTGAATCATGATGTCGATGTTTCTCTCCAAGATTTTGTCGAGGTTACCCTCTATTTGGCGCATAAAATTATCTGTGTAGGCCGGTCCAACCAGTCTTCTTTGCAGTCGATATTTATCCATGTCCAACTCGGAGAGAAAGTCCAGCTCATCGCCATCACCCCATCCTGCGCTCCCCGTCGCGATGTACCAGTCTCCCTTTGGAAATTTGCTTGTGGGTCCTATTCGTTCAGTTGGATTGCCGTTGACACAACTCCTTCTTGGCAGCAGTCTTACCGTATATTACATGTCTCGACTTTGTACTGGACACAATGACCTCATTTGGGCTGACGCGAACGATAGGGCCATATTTCTTGTGCAGATCCAAATCTACCCACGGTCGTTGAAACGTGCGCTGACGGGTGATGAGCCAGAGTGGTGATATACTAGCAAAGAAAGGCCCAGGAACATTTCGAAGAGGTGTCAATTCTCGTACGTAGAAGCAATACAAGGATAATATGACGAAACTAACAACTGCCAGAGACGTCAGCGAGGTGGCAGAGGAACCGAAAGTGTCATTGTTGAAGTACATGCTGATTATAGGCGTTATAGTGATCTTGCATCCCAACAGATTTGTGTATTATCAGCTTGAAGGAGTAGATATAAAGGGTGTGACTGGAAAATTTCCATTTCTTCCTGTTCGCCGTCGGGTGCCGACTCATCGGGGGTCGGCGGTCGGAATTCGGGCCTATGCATGTTGCTCATCACCCATGCATTGGCGGTGCAAGAATTTGCTCTTGAAGTAAAATGGCAGACAAGTTCACAATTACGTTAATCACTGCTTCAATGCCACGAAATGAGCAGAACTTTGCAGAGGAAGAAAGGTGCTCTGCAGGCTGGGGCTTCTTGTCGGTTGGCCACACTACGGTATATGACTTTCAGTAAACCAACGTTTCGGCTCGCCTTAAAGCTGGGCCTAAAACATCTGGAATACTCCAAAAAGCAGCATCACTAGCTTATTTTAGTGCATTTTGCAAATTATACTAAAGCTAAACACTTTTTATAATACATTTTTATACTTTTTAAAGGTATAAAGAATACTTAATATAACAAAAAAAAAAATAAAATAAAATAAAAAATAAAAAAAAATCAATTACAGCTGTTTATTATAAATCATACATTTATTTTAATAAAATAAATATATGAATGAGCTAAAAAGGCGTAAGACTCAAAGTTGGTTTATACAGGGTCATACCAACGGGTAACCCTACCCTAAGATCTAAATTTGCTGCATCAACCTGCTGGGATATATCATACGTCTTTGACCATTTTTTGGATTGTTTACATGTGTTTAACATAGATAAAAGATCAAATAATTCATCCCTAATCGACCTCGAAGGATGATTCAAAAGTGTAAGATCCTGTTCAGCGCTCTGACATGTCGCATGCAGCTTTACAATGTCAGCGGCTACCATCGTCGGTAAAAAGAAAGCTGCTGGTGGCTGATTTTCCCTTTCTTACAATTGTGACATTCAGTTCGTCTCGAAAGAGAAAGACGGCGACTTGTATGCTTTACTGCGTGAGCGTTTCCAGTCACTGGTTCTTTGCAGGCGGTTGTCCACAATAAGTGCCTTGAGTATTGAAGAGGAACTATTTCAACTACCTGAATTGAGGTTTTACATTTAAGACATATGTATTTTAGAAGCATGACTGATTGATAAGAGAAAACTGGAACTGTCTGATCATGATGGACCGACAGAAATGTACGCATTCATGCACAAATCTGGGACTCACGAGGCACAGCTGGATGAACCATCGAACTATTTTAGATTGAATGGTCTTATATGCTTAAGAGAGTCCACTCGCCATTTAGATGTTTCTATCAATGATGTGCACTTAGTTGTCTAGGCAGAAACAGTAGTGGTAGGGTTAGCGGCTGCAGCTGCGGCGGCAGCATGGGCAGCACCTTGTCGATCCATCTCAGCAAAGAAGGCGGTGTCGACCATCTCCTCAATCTTGCTAATCTGTTTTCCGTCTTCAGTCAAGGTGACGAAAGCCGCATATTCGTTGGCCTGTGAGGTTTCACATCCTCGTCAGCTTCTGACCAGTGAAAATGGTTGTGATGGACTGGGATGTGCGCCGGCGCGAAGCCGCCAAAAGAACACTATAGCCAATCCCGGTTGCGGAACTGCAAAGTCACATATCACAACATTGTCCCATTTCCTCCAGAATGCAGAAGATAAGTTAAATGCAGGGGATTTGCTTACCCACTTAAAGTCGCCGAAGGGAGTGTCAGCTTTGGAAGTTGCGTAGATGGCAGCCTTGCTCTTCTTGGTATCGTGAACGATGTCGTAAACTTGCAACTGTTCAAGTGATGAGTTTAAGCGTTTGATACTTCTTGGTATGGTATCTAGTCTAAAAGCACAAAAGGTATTACCTTCCAGTTGGTGAGGTTCCCAAAAAGCTTGGGAAGAGCCTTCGAAACAACAGTGTCCTTGCTCATGGGTGGCGCATTGAGTGAGAAAGGCAGGATCTTGTTGGTGCAGTCATCAGTCCATAGTTCAACCCACGCTTCGGGGTTGTTTGTGCCCCATCCCTCAATGAACTTATCGATGGTGGCGGCTTGGACCTCAGCTGGAGCAGGCATTGTGGGTGTTTTTAAACTTGGGATAAGGTTTGGTTATAAAATGGTGATGGCTTGGTGATGACTTGATTGCTTGGTTGGATGATTTTGAAGTGCAATCCGTTACTTTTGGATGTCCTATTTATAAGTCAATTCGTTTATATTACCTTGTCTCGAAGCAGCGGTGCTGTTCTAATCAGCAGTGGAAGGGACGACTAACCTATTCGGAAGTTGACTCCAACTCGGACTCCGGTACAGTAGTATCAGCGAGCGGAAACAGCCGCACATGCCGATGGCAATATGTGCAATTCAATTATTGAACAATTACTTTCCCGACTTGCAATTTCAGTCACAGTACCAAGTGTGAAGTCGGACATTATCAAGACTGGGCTCGGGGATATTGTGTGTGATTTAGCTCGAGGCGTAACATACGATCTTAATACCCGGCCGGAGCGGTCTCTCAAAAGTGGTACATCCGATCAAGAGGTACAAACCTCTATTTTGTGCTCAAGAGCACTGGCACAAAAAACGGAGTGATACCTATTTTATATATCACTAGAAGTTATCTCTGGCCAGGTTTTTGAGCCACGATTTCAAACTACCCAATTTTTCAGACGCTGTCAAATTACTCCACCATGTCCACACAAACCAATACGACTATAAGCAAGGAGGTTGATGTTGAGACACCCTTTCTTACCGGTGCGCGCAAGAGTGGGAGCAGTGTGCCGTTTTGGGCGTCTTATATACAGTCTCGTCCTAATCCAACCGAGGACTTCTTCCAGCTCATTAACGAGTACCACAAGAGGTGATTTCCATTTCCATTTGCCTGTCCCCTGTCCAATCCTTCACTTCTCTAACATTTTGAACAACATCCAGCCACGGTAATAACCGTGCTGACATTGCCCATGATGTTGGAACAGGACCGGGCAACATTGCTGCCCGACTTGCCGCCTACTTTAACAACGTCGTCGGATCAGACGTAAACGAAGAGGTGCTGGACGCCGCTCCCTCCATCGTCCCAGCCGAGCTGCTCAACCGCATGACCTTTATCCAGTCGTCAGCAGAAGCTCTTTCACAGAAAACACCAGCCCACCTCGGCGGTGAGGGAACCACTGACCTTGTTGTTGTGAGCGAATGCATTCCTCTCTTGGATCATCAAACTGCACTGAAAGAATTTAACAGAGTGCTTCGACCTGGGGGAACACTAGCCATTTATTTTTATGGCCCGGCAGTTTTCGCCGATGGTGATGTGGACAGATGCAACACGGCGTATGACAAGGTCGCCACTCGCATCTGCACCTTTAATCAGCCCATGAAAAATACTCCGGGATTTCCTATCCACCTCCGCGCCGCCGAGGCACTAGTTAGCGAGCTGGATAACATCCCCCTGCTTGAAGAAGACTGGGAGAGTGTACAGCGTTACAAGTGGAACTGTGACTATTCGCTCTTGTTCAACAGCAAGGCCGGCTTTGACTTTAACTTCTCAGCTGTGGATCGACGAGGCAAAGCAGATGAGACTAAAACGGCCATTGACCGCAATTTTTGGAGTGAAGATTGGGGTATTGATAATGTCAAGGCGTATTTGGACTCGGTGTATCCGAACTACCGCGTCAAGGCAGGTGACGGGTATTCCGAGATAGAAGTTCTCTTGGAGGAGCTGAACGTCGCCATGGGCAAGCAGAAGAGAAAAGTCACGTTTCCAGTTGTGCTTATCCTCGCGACGAAGAGACCCGCGCTGAATGGCAACGCCACTCCCAATGCTAAGAAAGTCCAGTTGTCCCTGTCCCAGAATCATGGTGGCAGCTACGGACGTGTCAATGACCCTGCTCCCGAGTCCATCGAAATGGCAAATAAGCTGCTGCAAAAGAACCATGACGACTATCACATATTCTGGAGAGATCTCAACGGGCACAACCACATGGCCCATTCCATCCTGACTCACTTCGCAATCGGGGCGAACCCTGCTGAGCTGCAGCGTGCTAACGACGACGGTGTCGGTGTCCAGCGCGCTCGTCCCGACGTTGACTCGGACGTGGTCAAAGGTCTATCTGACGACAGCAAGCTTATGGAAATCATGGGTGACCTCACGCAATACAGCAATGCGATTGAGTTTTTCGAGCGGCAAATCGACCTGTACGGATGGAGAGCTGTTCTTCACAAGTATTGCTTCACTCGTACCTCTGTTGCCGACACGATTCTTTCTCGGATGTACGAGGGAGCCCATCACCCATTCATTCATCTAGGCCTTGCAGTCGAGTTTGAGCTGCCTAGCATCACGGCTGAAGCCCTCGCTCAGGCCGTGTGTCATCCATTCTCCGGTATTCCAGGCTGTCTTTTACAGACCGATGCAGAGGCTGGAGATCTTGATCCCAACGCTCCACACAAGCCTCTCCTGGACTTGTACAAGGAAGCTCGCGCAAACAAAGCTATTCTGAACGGCCCTCGATGGGAAGACGGACCTTTTAAAATGAGAGACGGGACCCTTGGACGATCAAAGGCGGACATCATCTGTCTAGCTGCCCAGTACCGCGTCAAGCCATCCGAGCTACAACTAAGAGCCGCCGAAGTAATCAACTGCAGCGCTTACATCGCAGGCGCGGCACAGCGAGCCGGGAAGACCCCAAAAATCGACTTTTTCCACATGCACAACGTGACCAGCTCGGTCTTCCTGACTGTCCTGGTCAACGACCCCTGGATCAGCTTGGAAAACAAGGTGAGGCTAGTAGAGTGGAAAGGCCGAACGGATCTCTTCTGGTATGCTGCCTGCGGCTGCCCGCAGTACAACATTGCCGAAATCTTCAACTACACACCCGGTCCAAGCGCTGGCAAGGGATGGACCGAACTATACCATGATATTTGCCAGATGAAGGACGACGGCCACGTTGCCAAGTTTGTGCGCGCGGCCAAGAGCGCAGGCGAGGTGTGTCGGATGTTCGAGAAGCAGGATCCGGCTGCGTTCCCCATGACGGGAGAAGCATGGATTCAGCTCGCTCGCATGACGTACGACTCGACTCTCGGCGTTGCTGATCCTGAGAAGTGGGTTTTTGGAGCTGGATTCCCCGAGGCTTGGGAAAATGTACCTGCTAGATCACAGTCGGCGGCTGTCAAGCCTAAGATGTTTCCCTGCCCCACCAAGGAATATCGCAAGTCACAATATGACGCTATTGATCCTTCTTTACCAGCTCTGTCGGCAGCTGGGAAGAACATCGTCATCACTGGTGGCGGCTCTGGTATCGGCGCAGCAACTGCCCTAGGATTTGCCCAGGCCGGAGCCGCCAGTGTCAGCATCATTGGTCGTAGGGGCAACATGCTCGAATCGACCAGGAGCAATATCGAATCACTGGTTCCTGGTGCTCATATCCACACCTACGTCTCTGATGTCACAGAGAAGGACCAAATCGGCGCCACATTCAAGAAAATTCACGACCTTGTCGGCGAGATCCACGTCTTGATCAACAATGCGGGCTACAAACCTACCGTTCCGCCAACATCGAGCGCCATCAAGGACCTCGACGTGGAAGAGTGGTGGCGCTGCTTCGAAGTCAACATCAAGGGCTCGTTCCTCGCCACGCAAGCCTTCCTAAAGTACAAGTCCGACGAGGCTGTGGTGCTCTACGTGACGACGGCGCTGTCCCATTTCACCGGCTTTCCCAACAATTCTGCCTATAGCTCGAGCAAAGCAGGCGCTGTGAGAGTCTTCAGCACGCTCCAAGCCGAGCATCCCGAGCTTAGAGTGATTTGTCTACACCCAGGAGTTGTAAATGTTGGAGGCAAAGTCAGCGGCGCAAAGCAGGCCGGCTTAGCAGACGATGGTGAGTTTTTGACCCCCCCACCCCCGTCTCTCTCCCCCCAACTCGTGATTTCGAACGACAATCCCTCCCCTTTAAGGTGCGGAATTTTGACAATTAGAACTAGTCTCCCTCTCTGTCGGTAGCATGGTCTGGCTCGCTAGCCCAGAAGCCGATTTCCTCAAGGGCAAGTATATCTGGGCCAATTGGGACGTTACAGAGCTAAAAGCGAGGGCAAAGGAGATTGCCGAAAGCGATCTATTTACTATGAAATTAGGGGGTTGGCCATTTGACAGCAAAGCTACAAAATCCAATCTGACAGGCAGATAAAGGAGCCATGGCTGAGATGGGCCGCGGACAATAGTAACGTGGAAGATGCTGCGTTTATCGTCAGTAGGGGGATAAGATGAATGGAGTTCAACTTATTAGTCTTGATATTACAATCCATCTCCCTCTTCTTACTAGCTTTTATGAGTTAAGTCAAGAACGCTAGCCCTCTTAAAAAAGACAACCTCAATTGTACTCGCTAGATTGCTGCGATGGCCAATGTAAAGACCAGATTAGGATATAATCCCCTCCTCGTTCCGTTCTACGAAGCCCGTCAGCTTTCCTACCTACACAAAATCCTGAAAAGGGTGTTTAGTCAAATCCTTAAACAAGTCTGGTCGTTAAATATCGACGCATTAACTGCTAGACAATCTCTACACGATGAAATGTCTTTTATAACACACAAAATATGCACAAGCATGTGTATCCATCTGCACATCGAAACTAAACACTGCATATAAGTCGGCTACATCTCATCTCACTGTATTGAACATTGATAGCACCAAACTGGACCCATCCAGCTCCAACACGGGCAGCAAGCCCCGCCAACTTCCACCCTCATGCAGGCTCCCGGGGGGGAAATGCCCGACAACAGCACATCACACCGTTGCAGTAAACCCGAACGCCCGACTTCCGAACTTTCGTGTTGACCAGGACCGACATGGTGTTAGCAACGAGGTAAATAGCCTTACCCTTCGTGCAGTAGTTGGTATCACGCACCATCTTGAATCAATATCTCTATTTCATCTTTTGCGTCGTCTTGCTACTATTCCGTAAACTTTCACCAATATGAGCACAACAAGCACACTACCCACTCGATGGGTAAATACGCCGTGGCCGCTTCTCAACGCGCCGCAAGAAGACACCGTAGACACCCCCTTCCTCCCAATATTTTCAGACGTACAGAAAGACAAGTAAAACAGAAAGAAAAGAGCAAAAACTCCAAACTAATCAAATATGGCGAATGCTTAGACATCCCACTATGCCGTCCACATCGCCACCGACATGGTCCATGTCCACAACATCTTCCTCCGCGCCCTCAACAGCATCATCCTACAATCACCATATGTTGTTAAACCGGGAGACATTGTAGACTTGCTGTTCTACACCAAAACAGTCGTGATTACCATTGATGCTCACCACTTCGGGGAAGAGGAATACCTGTTCCCAGCACTAGCAGCCTATACGAAGAACCAGGACATCATGTCCGTGAACCAGGCCCAGCACGCTGCTTTCCACACAGGGCTGTCACGCCTAGGTGAATACTGCAAATCTACTAGCCCGGCCGAGTATTCGTACACGACGTTTAAGGGCCTGATCGATGCCTTTGCGCCGTCATTGTACGAGCACCTGCGCGATGAGATTCCCACCATGCTCGCTCTCAAGGTGTACCCGAGCGACGAGCTCAAGCGCATGTGGGTTCAGGCCGAGAAGCACATTACCGATGTGGGGAGCTACGATGAGATGTTCCCTTTGGCGTTCGGATGCATGGATCGCGGGTTTGAAGGCGGGAGGCACAAGTTCCCGCCAGCACCTTGGTGGGTTGCATGGGTCGTCCAGTACTGGTTCGCCAGGCGGCATCAGAGCGTGTGGCGTTTCAATCCGTGCGATATGTGGAGGGTGCCACGGCCGCTGAAGTTCCTGCCAATAGACATGGACGGAGAGTTGGATACTTGATGCCTTGGGCGGCGGGAGATCGAGAGATTTCGGCCCTAATAGGGAACAGCGCTAGCAGGCCAAGGCCCTCGAAGCTCCAAGGCACAGTCCAGGCTTCCTTTCTTTTATCAACGCCACAATTGCACTGTAGACTTGTTTAGCACGAAAGGCGCTCCTATCTTGCCCTATATTCACTTCTTGATGTGCGGCTGGCTCGCCCTGTTTGCCCTGTTACGTAGATTGAGATGAGAATTTTTCTCTATTTTATATACACTGAAGATAACATTATCTATAGGATTCATCAGTCTCCCACATCTATCATTGCAAGGCGTTTGGGAGCTGTTGCTCGTCGTGCTTTGGATCATTGGCCCCCTTGTAACCCAAATCCCAGTCCATCGCAGACCAGTCCAAGTGATCCATGTCGATGTCATAATAGGCAGGTACATCAGAGTACCCAATTTCTGGAGCAGAGCCAGATTGCTTGATGCTATTGCCGCATTCCTCAGGAATCAGAAGTTCTCGGCTTTGCCGAATAGATGACACGAGCAGCGGTGTCTCCAGCGGGTACCCTGATTGCTTGTACGCACTCTCCCGGACTTCCCAAGCCTGTAAAATCATGTTCGTTAAAAGTCCGAAGAAGCTATCCGTCACAGACAGAACCTCAATGAGCGCGTGGTAGTTGTCGTTCATGATTTTCCATGCATCCGTAGCCTGAGCACTCTTGGGCCGCCACTTGAGGTGTTGGATGATCTGGATGTACGCAATAAAGGGGAAATAGCAATGGACCATCCAGATGAAGCCTTTGGTTAGCGGTGAAGTCATGAGCTTTGTATTGCACTCGAGCATTCTAAGCGCGTACGAGAGAGCGGCATCTCGCTGAGTCTCAGCGTGATGCAGCGAAGAGCCCGAGTATCTGAAGTGGTGTTCTACTAAGCGGTACTTGGCAATGTTTCCTCTTGTTGTCCATATAGTCATGAAATGAATCGCGTTTTCCGGATCACAAAACTTCAGGTACTTTTCTTCCATCATTTTATGAAATGTGTCAATTTCAGAACCCTGAGGGACCTCTTGACCCGTCGTCGCAGAGGGACGAAGACCAGGGCCGAAAAACCCTAGATGAAACTTGGTATAGCGAACAAAATCCGCAAGTTCGCTGCGACAAACCGCGAAAATGACATCGGTCAACTTTCCTTGGACCTGAGGGGACTCCTTCATCTCTTCTCTGATATCGGAGTCGTTGATGGTAAGCGGCACTCGGCAGTCCCAGGTTGGAAGTAACGCAGTAGCATGTAAGTCGGCCATTTCTCCAATTCGAGTGTCGAAAAGTATCAGAGACCACCAGAGCCTCCGGCCCATCTCAGCCTCGAGTGGGGATGCCTTCGCCAAGGTAGCTTCACTGTGAAGGCCCATGCGTTGCGCGATACGAATGGCAGTGCCAAGGATAGATGACAGAGACTGCGGAGCAGTGGTGGGTCGAACCGATATCTAGGGCCGTTAGAAAAACAATTAAAGGGACTGTAAGCAATAGATGTACGAACGAGGTATAGACACAATGCCGTCAAGCAGTCTCGGTTCGTACTCCGCATGAAGCGACTGTTCAGAAGAGCCTGCTGGCAACCAAGCTGGAACCGAGGCAGAAGATCAACCTTGGACGAGGCAAACATTGCTCGACACTCATTCTCAGTCAGGCTTGAAATGGCCATGCAGTAAATCCCAAACATGAGCGCCTCCAACTCTGGCGTGATGGTCATGAGATTGGTTGCGGCCGCGATCAGGCGCTTTTGAAGACTGTGAGTGTGCGTTATCTTCAGAAGCGGATCAACGTTATCGAGATAGACTTGCCACAGCTGGAATATCTGGAATGGCTGAGGGTGCAAGGTGTGTATGTCTACTATCGTCTGGTGCCAACCAAATCCAAAGAGGAGGTGAGCATCGTCCGCGATTTCCTGATCCCATGCCCTCTTGAAGACAACCCCCCGCACTTCATCGTCTGACGAGTCGCCATCGGTGCGATCACGGAACTGTATGCAATTGTCAATCAACAGAAAAAACGTGAACTCGAAGAGTGATGAGCCTACCTCTTGGTTCATTGTGTGCAACATCTGCCTGCAGCCAATCCAATTAGCGAACACTCAATAACAGGCGCATGGCATGACCAGAGGTCAGCGCGGGGGGGGGCGTATACTTGGCCGCGCGCACCCTCCGCCTTGGAGAGCTGGTACCTGCGTGAGATGAGGCAGTAGTGGTTCCGGGCTCATCGTCAGATTCGCATGGCTCCTCAACATGCGAGTCGGGAGACCCCTTGGGTGCTGAGACAGATGACTCCGGCCCGCGTGGGTGAAGCGGTTCAAACTTGATGTTGTGCTGGGTGAGCAAATCCTCATAGTTGCGAATCCGGTCGAGGAGCTCCCTCTCTGGCAGTCGTCTCTTTCGACGGCGCTGGACTTGGTTTGATGCGACACATGGCACACCCGCCTTGGCACATGTGGCACACGGATCTTTGTGATCGCACTTGACCTTGCGCTGCTGGCAACGCACGCAAGCCAGCTGTCGCCGCGGCCGTAGCATAATCTCCTCACCCGGAGGGAAATATGTTGCCGGCGCCAAGGCAGGGCGCCCTCCCGGAAGGCTGGCCGATGAGGAGGACATGATATTCTTTGGCCAACGGTGGTTGCGGTGTCCAATGTCCCAGCGCAAAGATGGTGGGGGTCTGATGTTGGTGGACGACGAGGGGGACGATGTCAAAGGAGCAGGTACATGGCACCCTCGAGTTCTTTGGCACGTGACCGTTTCCATTTCTGCAATTACATGTACCTTGGTGCAAATCACAATGTTGGCCCGTAATGGTTGCTGAATGACTCCTCTCTTCACTTTTAGGCAAGTAGTTAATCCGTCTGGTAGGATTTTGGGCAACGAAGGCAGGCCCTAGGACTGGTGGGTGGCGCAATCCGACTGCAACCACACAAGCACAAGCACAAAATCAGGTCAATAAATTTCCTATGATAACCAAGGAAGAGAGTACCATGCGAGGAAATCAGTGCCTATTTATTTATTCGTCTATGTTATTCATTTGGATCCTGCGGCGGCGAATTTCGCACTCTGCCTTCCCATCTCGGCAAAAAATGCTGTGTCCACCATTTCCGTAATGTGCCCAATCTTCATCCTGTCCTCAGTCAATGTGATAAAGGCCGCATACTCTTGCGCCCATTTAAAGTCGCCAAAACGCGTATCTGCACTTGATGTTGCGTAGATGGCAGATTTTCCCTTGGCCGTGTCGTGTAGGATTTCGTAGACCTCCAACTGCTCGAGGTTTAAGTCTTTCTGTTTGCACTACTATTGTCAGGCCAGCCGCTGCGCTTACCTTCCAATTTGAAATATTGCTAAAGTGTTTGGATCGAATGACATCGGATTTGGACATGGGTGTGCAATTGAGCGAAAATGGTAGAATCGTGTTTGTACAGCCGTCCGCCCACAATTCTGTCCAGGCTTCACCAGAGTTGATTTTCCATCCCTCGACAAATCTATCAATCGTCGCCGCCTGGAGAGACGCGTCGTGGGTGGCTACTGCAGCCATTGTGCCAAGACTTGACTGATTTGAAATCGCCTCAGCCGGCTTTTGGGTGTTGCACCCGCTCTATGTGTCAAATAAATATTGCCCTAGCACAGCCATCCAGATCACGCAATTCCAGGTACTGTTGATCAATGATGATCGACGATAAAGGTGTACTTGAGATGGTAGAATTAATTGTCGGGCATGAACAGAAGCATCGGACTCCGATGGCAGGGTTAGGATTTGATTTCGGTCATTTTTTTCAATAATGCTGCCCACCCATTGCATTGACCCCGGTTGGTGGCACAAAGTTTAATTCTTACAGCCGACGCGTAATCGATACTCTGGACAGCAGATTACAGCCTGGTGCTCGTGTATGTTGGCTTCCTTTTGTTTTGCCTAGATAGCTAGTGTAGTATGTATCTCATGCATTCGAACCGAAACAAAACGTGGACAGTAGTACCCGTAGGCATGAATTTGCACTTTCGTACACATTGCACAATTCAATTGCGAATATGAACATTCATATCTGATTAACATACTAATTGACAAACCGAGTGTCTGTTGAAAGCAACACCTTTCTTACACTTCTTCTGTATTACTAGCTGTTTTGAAGGGTGTAAATAGCAATCTGAAGATGGATGATAGAGTCTTTCCTTCCCTTGAGCCAAGGAAGTTTTTTTAGAGTAGAAATGCTATGTATGCACAAGGAAATTGCCATGCACCATATCTAAAAATACACACAAATGAACCTGACCTCGCCCTCGATGGTCTACAAATAAGAATTAATAATTAAAAAAATGTTTCGCATAGGCCGCCATTTGGACACTAATGCCCATGCCTCTCGGCCTCTTTCGCTATTGCGCCCTGACGGCGTCTCCCCAATTTCTCCTTATGATTAAACCCTGGTTGGGGTGGTGGGAACTTCACCGTCGTAGACTGCGTCTGCTCTGTCCATGTGACTTCGACGCTCTCAAAAGAAGTCAATCATTCCTTCTGTGGAACCTCGGTGGCTGTATCAATCGTTTTCTCCTCGTCCTGAGGGCCAGTCTTATCGCCCTTCTTGTCGCCATCTTTCTTAGGGGGGCGTCGTGTGTTTTTGTTCTCCAGAAGCACTGCACCAATAATAATCAAGCACGTCAAGATCAGGCCAATTCGAAACACATCCCGAATGGCGTCGTTGTACACCTGAAGCACTGTGGGCTTCAAATCAACTGGAAGTGCATCAATCAATGCAGTCGCTCCACCAGAGGTGACGAGGTTGCGGTCAAACCCAGGGAAGCCAGCTAGCCTCTTGATGAGTTGATTGGTCAAGACGTTCTCTCCGGCAGGGACCGATACCGATCCACCGATGAGCTGGGCAAAAAATCCTAATGCAAGGGCAATCGGCACATCCTTGTCAGACAGCACCACTTGCGCGGCAAGGTTTGGCGTTTGGACGGTGGCGCCCATGCCAAACCCGAACAGGACCTGATAGCCGATCCACTTGCCGCTGTTCGAGTCCACGTCGAGGGTGGTGAGCATCCCGGCGCCGACGATCATTATAACGGCGCCCAAGAGGCCGGCATGGACATAGTATCCAGTCTCTTCCACAGTGGCTCCATAAATAATCGATGAAACAAGCAGTCCTAGCATCAAAGGTAGCAGCTTGACACCGGACGTCACAGCCGAGTTACCCTTGACCGTCTGGAACCAGATTGGAAGGTAATAAACTTCAAAGGAGTTAGCCAAGGCATCCATCTAGGTACATAAAAGCGGGTCAAGGAGTCTTACTGAAAATGTACATGCCGGCACCGAGAAAAGCCATCTGCCATACGCCTGCCCAGATGCTGCGGATTTTGAAAATCCGCGGTGGAATCATGGCAGTCTTTGGAAGCAGGATTTGAATAGCGATGAAGGCAATAAACAATACTGACATCAAAGTCAACAATGCTATGATGCGTGCACTATTCCACTGAAAATAGTCAATATCGATCGCCGGACGGAAATTAAAAAAAAAAAAAAAAAAAAACTTACGGCGTATATTGAACCTCCCCACTGGAGCGCCAATACTAAGCATATGACACTGGGCACAAGGCACAAGGTACCCAGGGGATCTAGGCCCAAAACCTTGTCCTTCCATGGGAGTTTTGTTGACTCTTGTTTGGGAATTTTCAGGAAAGCCGCAACAATGATCATGACAACTCCACCAATGGGCAAATTGATGTAGAAGCACCATCTCCATGTGACATGAGTGGTAAATGCACCTCCGATTAAAGGGCCCAGGATGATTGCAAGGCCGAAGAAGGCACCCAGAGCACCTTGCACCGCCGGACGCCTCTTCAGAGGGACGGAGTAAACAACGGTCGTGACCTGTGTTGATTCCATTAGCTACGCGCTGCGAGGCAATTCCATGGGCGAAGATGATGCCACTCACAGATCCAGCAAGAATACCAGCCGCGCCAACTCCAGCAAATGCTCTTCCCACAATGAGTGTGGCTGAATTAGGTGCAGCACCACAGATGGCAGAGCCAATCTCGAAGAGTAGAATACTTGTGAAGAGAACAGACTTGGCAGAGTAAAAGGTATAGAGTTTACCAAAAAGGAGCTGAAAAGCACCGCAGGTCATTAAATATGCGCTCCCGTACCAGCCGACATCAGGGAGTGAATTAAACTCATTGGTGATGGCAGGAATCGCCTAGAGTCACATTAGCATTTACGACGTTGGGTGCTCCAGTCTCAGTTTGCGTACCGTTGTCACAATGGTTCTATCCAGAGCTACCAACATCATGCTGAAGAGAGACGACAGCATCAGGAGAATGATTTTCGGGGTCGCAAGACCCTGAAAGGTATCGTCAACTTCCTCCTTGGCATCAGATTTGGCATCCGGTTCCTGACTGTTGCGTGCTGTCTCGTCGCCCTGTGTTGTTTCCGACCGTGATCCCACATCCTGCTCCTGAGGGGCCGAAGATTGAGGTTTTCCAACCTTTGTGCCCATGTCTTCTGCGGTCATGGCGGGGAGGAAAGTGGTCGGTGAAGTTTGTTGTTTGCAATTTGCCTGGAGGAGGATTGAAGCACAATATGTCCCTGCTGAAGCGTATCGACAAGTTGTTGCGGTCGAGGAACGATTGAATGTGCTCGATTGCCCAAAAAGAATTTGATTATTGAAGAATCGTTCATTTTAAAAGAATTGAGCTTAAGGATCTGCATGTGTCAAATCTCATGACTGCCTACGTAAGTAACCATGAATCTGGCTGCTACGAGTTTGTGCCTGTCGGCGAGTATCAAGACCCGATGTCAACCTCGGGTTGTTGGCGGGAGTTATCAAAGTCCGTGTGGGGCCGCCCGTAGTATATCGTAAGGCAACAGAATGGCAACGGAGTAAGTTAAATTTCTTATCGCCAGTGCTTACTGCATCCTCAGGAACAAGTAAAAGTTCTACTCCGAGCTGCATGTTCTAAGCCCCTGACATCTTAAATAACGGATGCGGCCTTTGAAGTATTCACGGCCGAACAAAGGAAAGCCGACACACGATCATAACTAGGTCCGTAGATGGGGTGCCACACAGTGGAGCATCAGCAGACAAACGCAAAACAACGGCACGGCACAATCTCCGGTCGCAGCAAGATAGCCGCCGATGACTTGTAGATTTCCAATGTAAAGTCGTTTTTCGTGTCTCAAGTTCCTCCTCCGTCGCGCCGCTGAACTGCCCGACACCAGCCTTTGCACTCGAATATACTGTGCGTTGCATACGAAGCATTGCATCCGCCTCCTCCCGCCTCCTCCTGGGGCTTCTTGCACGTGGATCGAATGCGGCTTCGTCAGTTGAAGTTGCCGTTTAGACACAACTACTGGTCTGTGTGGGGAACATAGTAGCTCTGCATCTACGCGAGTTCAAATCCAGCAGGGCCGTTGTTGTAGGCGGAACGTGGCTACACTTTCGGCATCTTTGTTCATGTTCTTACCTTTTACAAGATGAAGCAGAGGTTTTCGGGGCTTGGTATTGCCGCTCAGGCCTCCAAGGACATGTTGCCAATGTTAACATCATGTTCAATTACAGCTAATAGAACTGATATTATTGTACATAAGGTCCGGCTTGGTACTTCACTCCTAGGACCACAAAAGCACTATTCTGCACACACATATTCTTTACAATGACGAGCCTGCCACTTCCATCATGATGAACGTCGTCCACCAAGGCAAAGATATCAGTTATTTCCATGGGACGATCGCTTCCTAATTGCAGCAGAGACAGATCAAGGACACGAGCAGTGCCCGCGGTATAGTGTTCAAGAGAAGTGGTTTTAGGAAGAACCCTCACCTGTAAGATCAAGGTAGCCGCTGGGTTTGCGCTCAGAACGTTTACGTGTGCCTCCAGCTCCGCCAGAATCTGCGTACGAAGCTGGGAGAAAGGCGTCACCAGAACTGACGATGTCAAGCGTACCATGTATACCGCCGCATCCTTTACGACCTGTTGCTGTCCACTGGTCCGCTGCTGCACCAAAATGCGGTCCATCAGTTGGTTATTCATCGTATAGCCGTTCGATGCAGATGTGGTGTCGTTCATTTGCACGACAAAGTTCAATGATGGGTAGAGTTTAGCCAGTGCTGAAGCAGGTGATATGGACTCAGCAACCACCTATTTTGCCCCTTTGTAAGTATACGCATCTACCACCACAAGGAAATGGAGTCTCTCACGTCTGCAACTCGCGCGTTGCCTAATTTGAGCCAATCAAGGCGACCGAGTAGCTCGGTAGCAGTTTCATCGTCGGTGGAATCCATATGACGAGTATAGGCCACAAACTGCCTCTTCAATTTTGGGTTAGTGCCACAGCTCGACTGGAAAGATTGTGCTGTGTTAAATGCAATCGAGTAAGCACATTCATAAGGGCTATCAGTATGGCCGTAGCTCTTTGTGGCTACGGCCATGTTCAACGCAGCGGGGGCGGCCGTCCCTGCTAGGAACAGAGCGGCATCCAGATGAGACGGCCGGGTGACGAAACTGGCTGAGAGGGGAGTGTGTGCGATGTAGCCTGGCTGTGGCTCGTAAAGAAATCCAGCTGTGGTCATCATGCATAGTATACGGCTCAACTGTGCTTCTGGCACGCCAACAACGTCAGATATTTCCTGAATTTGAACACTATTATTTAACGGAATGCAGGCAAGCGCTTGAAAATCCCCCAACCACTGAAGGCATGCAAGGATTTGGACCTAGGGGAGAAGAGATAAGTCAAGAACAGGCAAGATGAGAGACAAGGGAATAAAAAAGGTGCCGTACTTGACTTGCTAAACTGCGGAGGAAATCGGTGGGCTGGAATAACAGAACTTGCAGCTCCGCCAGAAGCATGAGCAAGTTCTGTCTCGCTGGGGCGAGCTCACTCGATGATATCGAATATCCAAGCTGGCATTTCTCACTGAATGCCTTAGTGGCGTCTATGAGGTTTCTAATGCATTCCTCAACATTAAACAAGGTGTTAAGATGCATAGTGTAACAAAGGGTGAACGGATATGGCGCTGAGGTTCAAGAACGGGTACAAGGTCCGATGCTCAGATGCAACATAGAGATGCATGGCTTGGATATTACATATTTATGCCCTGCAAGGGAGCCGAAACCCAACGGATTAGCTCTCCTGCGAGTTCTTGAAGCATCTTGGCAAGTTTAAAAGGGTTATATCATGGATTACGGGTTTTTCTCTTTCTTCAGTTCTTCCCTGACCAGTCATATTCCCTTGATTTGCAGGCAGCGCTTATCTTGGATTGTCTGTTCTTCCCCAGCAGATAGGCAACCCACTGCTTTGCGCAAATGCAAGGAGATGATGGGTGGACCCGAGATGAAATCCTACACTCAGCCTCGTCTGTCGCAAGATCTAGTTGAAGGAGGCGGGGTTACCAAAAGTGCCCGCTTATAGGACATTCCAGACAACCGATACACAATTTCCCGTCCCGCCGCAGCCACATGTAACAGAGTAAGTAGGAAGTCGGCTTACGCCCTACGCTTCACCAGACATAGCTTACTGACACGGGTCGTTGGACCAACCACGAAGGGATATCGGAAAAGAAACATATAATTCATCCTGCAAGCGTATCGCGTGTTACTCTGCCAGCCTTGCTGCTTCATGCAAACAGTCGGACAGCGAAGTGATGTATGGTGGGTTACAATCATTCGTATGGTGGGTTGCAATCATTCCCCAGCAGGTATATACCTCGCCACTGAGATTGTTGAGTGTGGTAAGGGTAAGCACTGCAGACTCGGACAGCGAACCTGCAGCCTCATCACCATCGCGCGTTGTCTTTGGCCCATGAGGGGTAGAACAGTCTGGTACCAACTCAATCGATACTGAGCAAACTCGGAACACTACTCTGTCTTACGTCCATGCCCCTGTTGAACACTCTTACCCCTCTCTTTGAAGCGATGGGACGGGGACGGGACGGATACACGGAATACGGAAATGCCAGAAAAAGAATCCTCCGCAGTTCAGCGCGTGTGTAAGTGGGTACTACCATATGATTGGTGCGTATGTAGTCATGATTTTTTGAGATTTAGAATTGAATTTCTATGGATAATTGGAAATTTTACAGGTACCTTGACAGCGAGGATTTGCTGTAAAGTGACGCTGGACTCATATAATTTCGCCTGTATGATTGGTGGGTTATATGCGAACTGTACGTGGTAGAGAGATAATCTGGGCCTATACCCCATAATCAGCAAGTCTGATGTGCAGCATGTTGCAATAATGATCCTTCATCTTGATAGTAACTTTAGCCGGGTGCAACCACTGGGGTAGTATTTCCCCTCCGTTCCTTCTGTTCCTTTCTTTTCAGCTTTTTTTTTGTTTAAATCATAGAAACTCCCTCAGATGCAATGCATTATTGCGATCCCACATGAAAAAGGTTGTGTCTAATGCGTTGACGTTGTCTTGGTGGTAACATATAATCACGTTTACCAGATAACCACGTTAACTAGCCACTCGCCAGAAATTCTCCTATATTGCGTACTTGAGAAAACCCTGTATGTCAGCATGCAAAGCCAAGCATCTTCGGAAGAGCCGCTGCAAAACAACACGACGTTGAAACTTCGTGATAGCTGCAACGCATGCGCAGTATCCAAGTTGAAATGTAATAAAGAAAAGCCAACCTGTTCGCGTTGTGCCAAGAAGAAAATCGCGTGCAATTATGTTGCTACAAAGAGAAAGGGGAGGAAACGCGCTCAATCAAGCCAGTCGACGGCTTTAGATAGACCAAGCACCGCCGATGCGAGTCCTTCGCCCGCAGCACCAAAGCCTATTTTCAATCCTCTAAGTCGATTAGAAATGTGGTTCGCGGCGGACTACGCCATATCGATTGAGGACTATCTATCGCGATGTGCTGATTCCACTGATGAAAATTCTAGAGCATCTACCCCGTACCCTGCTTTGTCAGATAACTTGATGCCAATGCAACTCTCAGACTTTGCGACTGAAAACGACGAGACCTTGCATTTGCTTACACCTCAGATGTTAGAGCTCTTGAACTGCGACGTCACAAACGGAGTGGATCAAGCATCCGCAGATGTTTCAGAAGTTGCTGGCAGAAAAGATGCCAATTCCGACTCTGCTGGGTCCTTGGCTTTCTTCGAAAATTCTGTCATTGAGCCGGCATTACGTTCCGACGTTGAGCCATTGGTTCCTGACGACGTGCCTCGCTCACGTAGAAGCGAGGCTGACTCGTGTTGCATGCTGCAAGTAATGGCTATTGTGAAGCAGGCCTTCTCCAATTCATCCAATTCATGTGAGAATTTAGACGCCATGGACATTTGCGGCACACCCGGAAGCAATGTTTTTGCTACCAACCAGCAAACCATCAACGTCATCGGCGAGGTTTTGAAGTGCTCATGCTCTCAGGATGGATTTATCCTCGTCATGATGTCTCTCATTATTCTCAGGGTACTTGGACAATACATCTCAGCAGCACGGCGGCCGCATCTCTGGTGCGGCAGATCCGGAGACAGTTTGGGGACTTACTCGCCCCTCAGTATGAGTGTTCATGCTTTCCTCGATAAAACACTTTCATGCCCCGCTGGCCCTGGAGAGCCAGACGAAGATGATCCTGCGTACATGGCCGCGCAGAGGGTCCTAAGCGAACTGCCCTATGTTCAGCGTCTAGTAAACCAACTGTCAATAAAGCTACAGAACCAAGGCTTCAGTGCCAATATGGTGGGAGAGATTCAGATTTCAGAACTCGGCCAACAAGAAGACAAGGGCAACTCACTACCACTTCCTCTGGGGTTGTTTGACCAGCTCAACACTGATATACGGAGAAACCTCAAGTTCCTAGCAGGGGAGGTTATTGCTACCCTGCGGCGGGAGTAGAGTGCTCCTGATAGTAAAGCTTTTATATTAAATAGGCAATTCTTTAGTTTTTTGTATAGTTAATATTATTTGTTTAATTCTTTTATACTATTATAATTTTTAATAACTGTTTTTATATTATATTGAAGTTTTTAAAAATAAAATTAATGTACTTTATAATTATAAAGAATTTAAATACCTTTATATAAATTTACATGTATATAATTTTATAAATTAATTTATTTATAGTTTTTTTTTTTTTAATTTTAAAATTTCTTCCTTTATCTTAAGAGTTTATTTAGTATAATTACTTAAGTAGATTTTATAAATATATTTTAAATATATATTATATTTTATATTATTTAAAAACACTATAAAATATTCTTATAAATTTAGAAATCACTACTATTATCAATCTAACTAATCAATAATCTGCAAATTGCAATGCTCCCTGAAATCAATCTACAGTATACTCTAGCGCTATACGGTCTCTAGCAGGAGTATCAAGGTGGATTGAGTGGAAGGACCGCCAAGTAGTCTCTAGCACGATATGTAAGCCTAGTGGGGGGACGGATACCGATATGGCGCTTTCTCGGTGCTCCAGGCTTGGTCAACAAACGGAGTTCAGTCACTTCTCCGGTCTGAACATCTTGACGAAGAAGACTAGACCGACCTTTGATATTGACTTGAACTTTGAGTTCTTTAGTCCCGGGTTCTTGAGAGCCGGAAGTGTTGCCAGATGCGTCACTCAACTCCGGCCAGAACTTTGGATCCTGCCAATCGTCGAAAACGTCGAAAATGTTGCCTTGTGTAACGTCGACGGCTGCACGGCTGGTGATACGCTTGCCTTTGCCATTAGCGAGAGCATCATCAATAACAGTTGGCAACTTTTGATATGTCGAATGCCATTCCTCTGCCAACAGAACAGTATAAATAGTAGTTACATATGCGCAACCTTTGGCTACAGAAATGCAAACTTACTGCTTTCAAACCCCAAAGACAGCATGCCGCACATTTTTTAACTGAGGATTATTACCAGCTGTCAGCCACTCTACATAATGAGCAGCATTGTCAGGCGGTTGCCTCTCATAGCTCGCCGTTATAATTGCTACTGGGACTTCTTGCGGTAGATCACCGGTCACGGTATCTAGGGACTTGGCTTAAGCAGCAAATCCGTGTTCTTCTGCGGACGATGCTAGTGATTGGGCGGGAGCTTCACAACTTCATGTGTTGGACCCAAAGAGAACCAAAAGAGGCGGAAGGTCGCTCTGCGAGTGAGTTTGATTTGGTTTTGATGAAGTTGCACTGGCCTTGGCGAGCTGACTTGTTGGTCCAACTGCAATGCGATCGAGGAAACTTGGATCGCGAAGCCTTGCACGTATGAAGAAATCCTGCGGTTTAATCGTGGGAGTTGTTTGGATTCGAAGCTGATATGAAGGGTTATTGTTGGTAAAGTGAAATGCTTGCAGCAAAGAGGCCACGACGAGCGGTGATTCTTGCCAAGCAAAAGTTCGGCCAATGCAAGCACGGATGCCCTTTCCAAATGGCTTCTATGGCATTAGTCTTTAATATCATGTGAAATTGAAGTGGAGGAATACTTACCTTCCAAGCGTTTGGTGGGGGTTTTCCGAAAGCTTTATCCATCATCCTTGAGGGCTTGAATTCCTCAGCGTTAGGGCTCCACAACTCCGGATCGCGGTGAAACTGTGCCAAGAGAACTTGAACATATTCACCGTCTTTTATCAGGAAACGGTCATCAAGAATCTGGTCTCCTTTTGCCTGAAGTGTGAATGCAGGTTCGGTAGGGTGAAGACGAAGGGTTTCTCGCAGATATGCCTTGATGTAAGGAAGCATTGACGTGTGACTCAGGGTTATGTTTCCACTTCCAACTGTGTCAATTTCTTCTTGCGTTTTACGATAAACCTCTAGGTTTTGCCAAAGCTCATAAAAGAGGAACGAAAGTAAGCCCGCCGTAGTCTCGTGGCCTTGGATCTCATAGGTAATGTAGATTTTGGAGTGGCAGGCAGAATATTCATACCAGCGATCAGAAATATAATCATATTACGGATGATCGTATCATTGTCTAGAGATTCCCCTGTCTTTGGATCCTTATTCAATATCATCGCATTAAGAAGGTCTTTCTTGCTTCTGGGGTTTGCTCTGCGGTCATTGAGAAGTTCTTTTGCTACTGCCTCCAGTTCCTCTATATCCTCTCGATACTTTTTCTCTTGGGTTTGGAAGAGGATTTTACTAAGAGGAGGTCGCCTAGATCGAGTGAATGACTCGGTGAGCACACCGACCATAGCCCGAACGAATGGATGTTGACTTTCGTGGTAGAATGAGTGGAATCTCGTACCCATGGCACATCTGGATATTGAGTTAGTTCGGCAAGCTAACAGCAGATCTGGGTGAGTTTTACAGGGGTATGGAATTGAGCGTGAGTCGCATGAAGTCGTCCTGGACATCGCTTGGCATGTCAGGGCCAAAACGTGCCCATTTAATAATCATTTGAGATAGATGTCTTCGCATTTCTATTCCATAGCTTGTCAATACTGCATTGGAAAAGTCCACTTAAGTACTTGACGAGCAGGCATAAGTACCCAAAACACGTCCCCTATTGACAACGGGCCAAAAGCAGGCATTAATGTGCGGTGCGCAGTCTCCCAGTTGTGCTCGCCCGGGTATGCAGTAAAGATTTCATCATGAAGTGCGTTTCGAACTTGTTGCAGTGAGCCGGACACTGACGTTTAGTATCTCTTTTCGTCAAACAGCTCTTGTGCTAGACCATAGTTCGCCACGAAAATACGATCACGTGGCTATCGAAGACGAACAATTGGACCTTATGAAACATCAATCCATTGACTCTATCTAAATGTGTTCCAGCAAGCCTACCATATGTGCTAACCATTCGAGCAAGACTATTGTGTGGATGTTCTGGGTCGACGTCAAGCACGTTCCCCAAGATGGGGTAGCCCGAAGGTGTTGAGATGACTTCAGTCATGTCCTAACAGATCGTGTTGGTGATATTGTAGTCTGTAAAAGTAAATTCAGTTGATGTCAAGAAGCAGGAAAGTTCACTGATACCTCTAATATGTATCTTACTCATAACATCACTAGATGGGTGGTTTATAACCTTACTCGTGGCTGGGAATCGCGGTCTGTTCAATTCATATCCCAGCTACGAAGATTCACAGAGAGTTGATGTGACGGGCCGGCGAATCATGCTAAGGATCTGATCCCACAGAGGTTTTTAAGTCGACCACAGGCGATTGTAATCCGTGAGTCATTCGATTTTTCAGAACCGCAGAGTGCCTCACAATAACGACAAGGGGGGAGGGGGCGGGGCGCTTGGTTCTGCATCTCGTCGGACACTTGACGCGCCTGGATGACATCCAAAACGATGTCTTAATGGTCCGGAGGCTATCGTCAATTTCTCACAAGTGCCTTTTTATTTTTAACATTGCCGCTGAAAAGACTGGTGCAACATCTGCTGAGTAGTTAAGCTAAACTATACACGAGAACGCTTGTCTAACTAAACAAACAGCGAGCAGTACCTGTTGGTTAACCTCTCTTAACACAAGTAGAATTCAAAACTATTTACTTTCAATCGGTAGCACGTATAGTACTATAAGAAGAATTAAGATTTTATGATCCAGGTATCTGGAGTTTATAAAGAGAAATCTATACTCATAATCGAAGACAGAAGAACATAGCTTACATTTGGGTCCACAAAGATACGCTAAGCAGGTCAGGTTGGTAACTCCATCTAGATTTTAAAATAGGATCTAGGGTGAAAGGAGACATTAGTTTTATCTTCGGATCTACATGTTACGGATTGGCCAAATTCACAATATTAAGTTGAGTACGGGAAAAAAATTTCATGCACAATGTACCGTTAATGAACAATGTTATGAAAACGCTGACATATGGTCAAGTAATTGGGTCATGTCTCGGTGATTTCGTGAATTATACTTTTGTGGCCGAGTTCCGAGTAGTTAAAAGTGGCAGGTGAGAAAAACAGCGTGCAAAATTTCGGAACCCTTTGGTGCTTCCAATCCGAGCCATTCGACCTATTCGAGAAACGTCTATAAGTGACAGGACGATGCGTTGATATATCGTTCTTTGTCCTCACTGAATCTTCCTCAGTGATCTGCTAGACTTCTATCTCATTTTCCCATTCGACTTATCATGAACAGCAATGAGGAGGGTTGCACTTCAACTATAGGCATCTAGCCCAATTCCCACGGGCCAACGCTAGTCAAACAGCCGTATATTAATAGCCTCAACTTGAAGGCATTTCTCGGGGATCCTACACCACTGTACGTGCCATCATGTAATTGTATCTTCCATGCAATTCTCCAGTTGTTCAATGAGCTGATATGTAACAGTGGTATTATGGGGTTTATCCTCGCCTTGACTCCGTTTGCTTGTGAATTGATGGAGTTTCGAGGTAGTTTTGGAGCTGGAGCTGCGAAGGTGTGGGTGAAACCGCAGTCTTTCTTCAGTTTCCTGACTGACAGATGTGTAGTGGCTCTCAGTACTTTTTCGGGGTCTTGGTTTTGATTCTTGCATCCGTGCTCCAATTTATTTTAGGCAATACCTTTGTCTTCGTCGTTTTTGCCTCCTTCGGTAAACCAACCTAATTTGGATACTGAGATAAGCACTAACGGATTGTAGCGGCATTTTGGCTCTCTTATGCTACAACATTGACGCCCTTTTATCATGCTTCCGCCGCACATGACCCTGCCAACCCCGAGAACCCGGGATTTATAATGCTTATGGTCGGTACCCTGAATCATGACAGGACGAGTGTAAAAAAAAGTCAGAGGTACTTTTATATAATATTATTCCCGAAACATATCCCTACCAAACACCCTAGCTTTCATCCAGTCTGTTGTTACTAGAAACCGGCTTCGGGCTATTGAAGAAAGATTAGATTCTATGTATTGTTTCTGACTTGCAAAGACTTACCACTTAAACACATATTTAAATAAGCAGCCTTCCAAAAAAGAAATGTGAAGAATCCATGACTAGAGATGTTAAATCCAAGAAGATTGAGGTCTGCAACAGCCTTGTCCATGCCAATATAGGCTAGGGCGCCCTGGTGATTGTAGTCAAACGGTTGGACTTCGGGGCCTCCTGATGACGGAGTGCGTGCCATTGCATTGAAGACATTGGCTAAGTAGCTGCCTTGTTGGTGGGCGACTTGCGCAGTTGGGGGAAGTTTACTGTTGGCACAATCTCCAAGTGCCCATATATTGTGCGCACCCTGGACGGCGAGACAGCCATCTACGACTAGGCCGCGTCGAGAGTCTTGCTGCTTGTTGAGTCGCATTGCAAGGTTCTCAATAATTCCCTTTTGCTTATTTCCTGTAGCCCACACAAGCAGGCCATAGGGGATAGTCTGGATATCCTTGGTGCCGTCTGGCTTAGTCACCTCTACCCTGATATCGTCTTTGCTGACCTCTTTCACGCTTGCCTTTGTTAGGACATTGATTGCTTCAGCTTTCAGTGTAGATTCAGTATAATCCATTAACTGCTTTGAGAACATTGGTAGAACCTAACGGAGCCATAGGAATATATTAGTTGCTAAACCGGATATTTGGAAGCCAAGGAAGCGAGACTCACATTTGGAAGTGCTTCAATTAGAGTAATGCGAAAGGCATCCATGATGTCTGGAAAACGGTCTCTGAGGCCGTCCTTGTAGTAGTCCTGTAGTTCGGCCGCAAACTCAACTCCGGTTGGACCACCCCCAACAACCACGAAGTGAAGCAGTTTTTGGATTTCATCACTGCTTCGCCCCTTGCAGAGCGCAGTTTCAATGCAATCTGTTATCCGGTTGCGAATTTTCTGGGCATCATTGGCGTTCTTCAGGAAGCAAGAGTGCTCTTCAACACCCGGGACATCTTCAACAGAAGATTAATACACATCATCCACAAACATGTGTTCGGAGACTTACTGAAGGTAGCGTTATCCGCACCTACCCCGACGACCAACATATCATACGGTATCACGGATTGTGCCACTTCACCTTGTATCGTGTGGTTGCGCTTGATGTGAACAACACGTCTCTCGGGATCCACCTCCGTTGCTTCGGCTTCATAGAACTCCACGGCACTTTTACCCTTGAAGAAATTGCGGATCGGCTCCATCAGCGAGTGCCCTTCCACAAGACCTGTGGTACATGAGGGGAGTAGAGGAGTAAAGAGGAAATAGTTGCGCGGTGAAATGACAAAGACATTGTAGTTGTCGATATCAAGGTCTTTTAGAAAGGATACGGAACCCCATCCGGTACCTATTCCTCTGCATGTTAGCACTGCTTTCTGGCAATACAGAAGTCAAGGGCACCAGTGGCGTGAATTACCTAAGACTACTAGGTTCTTCTTCTCAGCGGCTGGTGTAACAGGTTTGGGTTTCTCTTCAGTTGAACAGATCGTCCAAGCTAAGTAGCTGCAGTATCCGACGGCTGTAACCAGAAAGAGGCGGTACGATCGTGATGCCAGTTTGCTGGAGTTCATTCGGGTGTTTGAGTGATACAATCGTTTCCGGGTGTTCTTGGGGAGTATGTTCGCTGATATAGGAGAGTACCGGCTAGAAGAACAAGTACTACCGAATCGCAGGAGGCGACTTTGAAACGTGCATCTTGGTAGAAACATACTTGTTGATAGGCCAACTGCCTGCCTTTTGATAGCAAGTGGTGCTGCCCGACGAGAATAAGTGCTAGGCGAGCTGTACAGAGAGTCAAAAGGGGTTACACTGAAGACCAAACCTGAGCTGGCTTCATATGTTACCGATCCGGGCTGTTATATATCATTGTTAGCCATGAGCTCGCCAACAGTAAACCTGAGAATACCATATCCGCGGACCTCGGGTTACTGGCCGCAAATTCCGTGGAAATGATCAGTGATATCTCGACTGGTTAGCTAAATATCTAGTGAAAGACTCAGACTGTGTAAATACATCTTCCAGCACACGCAACCAAGACGCTTTCCCCTAATTGGTGAGTCTCGTTGATTACATCTTAATATTTAACTCGGACCGAGTAGATTGTAACCAGCATAAACTTTCTTTACATCCCTTAGATACCTATTTTACGCGTGTCATGCCGCAGGGGCATGTGGGCCCTAGTGTCGCTAAGCATAGGCCGTGAATCGGACACCACGGGCAAATGAAACAATTGCACCAGAAACCGCCCATGCGTATTCTCCTACAGTTTAATATATTATATATTTGCCTAAAGTTTTACCCTCTAGCTTAGTATTATAATAAATAGTTATAGCTTATTACTTGAATTTTATACTAAATGTATATTATAGGTAATAGGCTTTAAAAGCCCTGAAAAAGGCCTATAAAAATAGGTGCTATACGGCATTTAGGGCATTTTTCAACTGTTCAAATCAATCGAAAAATTCGAACAAAAGGTTCTCCCGACGAAATCAACCAACCAGAAGCCTAGAATCTTGCTTATATAAGCGATTCTGACCAATCAGGTTGCCGGATTTGCTCCACTTTTGAGGCATCAGGGGGTTACCTATTTACAGTCTGTAAAGGAAGGTAACAGGGATCCTAGAAGGCCCCGGAAGGCCTCGGAAGGCCGCCCCGCCGGTCCGATAATAGGAATGCACTTGAAACCTTATATAAAGACTATTTAATAACTTATTAACTAAAAGGAATTAGAAAAAATAAGTTATACCAGTAGAAAGCCCTGATTTTAAGCTTGCTAATGGTATTAAACTTTTTATTATATTCTTTATTAATAGGCAAAAAATAAAAATAAAAGGAAAAGGATTTCCAGGTTGATTTGTATTAGAACTTTTAAAAGATAGTTGCGATTATAATCTTCTAACCCAAATTATTAAATTGCTACCCTATACCCTTATATTCTTATATATATAAATAAAAATCCTGAACTTTAAGTAATGTTTTAATTTAAATATTTTATAATTTAGTTTTTTAATTATATTTATAAATATATATATAAATATTTTAAAAGTCTAATATATTACTTAGCTAAATAAAGCAATACTTCAGCTATTAATTACTATTATAGTAATGTTTATAATAAAACTACTTACTTATAAAGGATTTAATAATTATAATAACCTAGGTTATAATATAATTGTCCCTCCCTCCAAGGCTTGTCCTTAAGTACTATAGCTTTTTAAAATAATAAAGTAAAGCTATTTTTAGCAGCAGCTCTTAAAGCAATAGCTATTCTAATTACTAAAGCACTCCCTAAGTACTTTTATAATACTAACTATAGGCTTTATTAGTAGCTAAAAGTTATTTAGTTTTACTATTATTAATAAACTGTTATAACCTAAAACTATAAAATACATACTCCGGATATATAACAGACCGATAAGCTAATTAAAAAAGGATCACAGCCCTTAAAGTAAGCCATCCTAGACAGATCTCTATTATAAAAGTAAGCCACTATAAGAGGATCACGATCTGAATCGTGAGCCTTACGGAACGACTTACTATATAACTGTTTATTACACTTATTAGATATAGCTTAAATAGTCAGTCGTTAATATAGCATTTATATAACAACTAAAATTGGACTCTTATTTAAAGTTATTAGCTACATGACTAAGACCGCTTATAAGATCCCTTATATCTCTCTGCTAACATAAACCCAACGTTAGAGGCTTATCCCTTGGGAACTAGCTACCCTATACTAGGTATAGGACCAGAATGTTACATAAACTAAAATTAAATTGTAGGCCACCTGGTTTCAGTAATTATAATAATAATATTTATTATTTTATAAAAAGTTTTATTATTATAAAAAAAGCAATTTATAATATATATTAATTAAATATTAATATATATTAATAATATATTATAATAAAAAAGCTATTTTTATTATTAAAAAAACAAATATAATTAATATATTATAAAGCTGCTGTAATTATATAATTAAAGGTTATTATAATACTATATAAAAAAAAGCTATTTAAGAACATAATATAATAAATACTTATTATAACAGAATTAGAAAGGGTACTAATTAAACCAAAAGAGCTAAGAAAATTTATTAATACTAGTAGCCTAGGCTAGTATTACCTTTTATAACAGCTTATATAATTATTAAAATAAAAGTCCTGTTATATATATATATATAACTAAGTAAGTTATATATTAGTTTTTTTTATATTATTTAATTAATTAATTAAAATATAATTTTTAATATTATAATATTTATTATAATTTAAAATATTTAAATATAATTATTAAAATAATAATAATAATAATAATATTAATAATTTAAATATTATTATATATTATATTTATTTAGCTTTATAATAAAATAAACTATTATATAATAACTATTAGAAGCCAGTAGCCTATAGTTTAAATCTAGCTTAATACAGGCAGGCAAGCTAAATTTTTTTAAACCTCTGCTTAATAAAGCCTATAGGTAGTACTACAGGGAATATTTAAGTAATGCCTTAGGGGTTAGAATAGCTGTTGCTGCAGGGCTTATAGGGCTTAGCAAAGGGCTTAAGAATAAGCCTTAGGGGGAGGGAGTATTATATTATAACCTGGTTTTTTATAAATAGTTAATTCTTTTATAGGCAGCTGGTTTTGTTATAGTAACTGCTAAAATAGTAATTATTACCTTAATCTTTTGCTTTATTTGGCTTAATAGAATAAGAGATTGTTATAAAATATTAATCTTTATAATAATATAAATTTTAGTTAGCTTATTAAACAAGCTATAAGGTAATAAAAAGTTCTAATATAACTCCCTAGAACTTTATTACTATATGTAACAATCTGTTATACCGTTAAGCCAACAGGGCAAAAGATTAGGCCAATAAGCACTATTATAGCAGTTACTGTAACGGAACCAGCTGCCTATAAAGGATTCGTAGTTACGGAGGACCAGGTCGTAACACTATAAATACATATATATATATAAAACTCCCTTTTTAAATAATAAAGAAAGCAAGAATAGGTAATTAATTGTTAATACCTAGCTGCTATCCCGCAACAAAAATATATCTAGCTCTACTCCTCCCTTTACTCTCCCTGTAGGACTCGAACCTTTACAAATGTATTCCTCTAGTATAAGTGAAGCAATCTCTTCTGGTTAATAAACATCCAACAAAGTGCTTTGCTATCCTAATCTTAACATCTATATTAACATCTATATTAATATTACCAGCATGGCGGCTAAAAATATAAGAATATGTTAACAACACAGATTAAATTCAGATTAAAGTCAGCCCAGTGAGCGCTCGCTGATTATCTGAGTATAGCTTCGTTTTATTCTGGCCGTCCATGTCGCAGCGATATAAGTTACCACCAAGGTCGGTTATATAAATATGGCCGTTCTTTTTGTCCAGTTTTAGTCCAATTGCCTCGTTCAAGTGGCGTGTAAGGACGTCAGGTTTCGACGATGCCTCCACTGGCAACCCAGATTCATTCAACTGAATTCGGTTCAAGGAGTTACCGAAAGGAATCTCTCCTCGGTCAGTCCAATACAGAATGCGGGACTTTTCATCGATATCAAGGTCAATTGGTTCTGGAAGGCTGCCCAAGATGCACTGGACATCCGGCCTGGACCTTGACGACGCACCCAATGGGGTCGAGATGCTAGCGCAGAAGATCCGACCTTTTCCCCCTTTGGATGGACCCTTTTGCGTCCAATAAAACTTTCCTAGTTGTGGCGCAACGGTGATGCCAACACACCAGTTTTCAGCGTCTTTCATCGCTTCGGGATCCTCCTCGCTGCCAGTTGAGATAACGCATTCTAAGTCGCTGCCATCAAGATTGCAGCGATAGACACGCAACCCTTCGCGGTCACAAAAGTAAATTTTCTTGTTAACGCTATCAATGGTCAACTGTTTGGGGGTATTGATGGTTCCCGTGGACACGACAGTTTTGATATCCTCGCCGTTCATGTCTGCTGAGTAAATAGCGCCGTCGCGCTTTCCTGGTTTGCCCATACACGTCCAAAACATTCGGCCACTGGCGTAATCCGCAGCAATGCCGTCAGGGAGAGACTGTGATTGGACAAGAGTTCGTTGAAGCTGTCCATCTGTCGAGAACTCCAGAACGGCCCCTGTAGTCATCGAAGGGACATTGGCCGACAACCCAATATCCAAAACAATAAGCTTGGATTCGCAGACACCGTTGGCGGCTTCTGACGACATTGCAGTTGCAATTGGAATGCTTGAGATATTTTGAAAGAGAATTTGATTTGAAATGATAAGCTGTAATGACAATGAGTGCGAGGGGTAAGCCTATATATACTGCGCAACGGACACGAGCATTCGCACCTTGGGGTATCAGCGTGCTCCGGCCCTTCCATAGCTGTCGTATCCAATAGGTTAGGGGAGAGGAGAGCCAACGCCTCGGCTGTTTGATCGGATCAGATTAGAGTTCCGCGGCCCGGATGATAATGGTCAAGCACCGCGGCATCCCGAGGAACACAGGCGACGGGAGGAACCCCGATGAAAATTCTAGTGGTTGTCGATATTACGCACTACTAGATAGGTACGCCGATATATCTGCTCGTCTGCCTATAAAAAGCGTGACCGACTATGCGTTTGTCCAGCATGATCCCAGATAGCTTTCCCCCCATATTCAACTTCCTCTCTTAGAGCATACGTCTGAACCATGGCTTCAACAACCCACGAAATTGTTCCGAGCCCGGACATTTACGGCCCTGGTACCTTCGTCGACAAAGACTTCCTTGCCGTGCCCGATGATGCGCAACGCGTGTTCGAGTTTCTCGCCAAGACTACTCCAGGCTTTACTAAGGACCCTCAAATATGGAAGTCTGTGAAATTTGACGGACACGCGGAGCCCATGATCCCTGGGCCTTTGAAGGCTCCCGTCGTTGCCGCCGCTCTCCATGCCATGTGCGGTGTTGTCGGCAATGAATTGTTGGAAGCAAGAGATGGGGCCAAGAACCGCACAGTGTCAATCAATACGGACCAGGCCGCACTTTGGCTGGGGTCTGTTCTTACTGTCAACGTCAATGGTTTTGACCTTACGGCGTTTGCTCGCATGGGCGACACATCCAAGTTTTTCCCACACGACTTTGAAAAGGGTGTTTTTGACACCCCAATGAGATTGCGGACAACAGCCATTTATCCTACCAAAACACCTGGGGTTTGCTATCAGTTGCACGGGTCGCTACATGCCGAACCCGTTCTCCGAGCGATTGGTGTGGATCCCGCTACGAAGTGCGCCACCCCGGATGACGCCTACCGTGTCATCCGCGAACATGTCGTGAAGTACACCGCGGACGAGCTCGAGATGATCATGCTGAAAAATGGCTTTTGCGGTAGTATTTGCTATACCCCTGACGGGTGGAGGCAAACATTTATGGGAAAGCGATTGGAGAGCCACCCCCTTGTGAACTATGCTCGCCAAATCCAGGCAGTTCCCACTCCGCCAGTGCCGATGCCCGTTCTGGCAGACAAACGCCCATTGGCTGGAATCAAAGTGGTTGAGATGGTACGCATTATCGCTGGCCCAGTAATCGGAACTACCCTGGCCGCATTTGGTGCAGACGTCATTCGAATCAATTGCAGCGGCTTGCCTGACATCAATGTAAGGATGATTTAACTATTCTAGCTGTAAAATGCCAAATAACAACTGAATATGCTCTTGACACTAACTAAATTTTCTCATATAGGCCTTGCAACTCACCTTGAACGCAGGAGTGCGAACTATCGATCTGGATATCAACAAGGATGACGACTTGGCTCGACTGCGTGAGCTCATTCAAGATGCTGATGTTTTCCTACAAGGTTTCCGTCCTGGATCTGTTGCCAGGAAGGGTCTCGGCCTGAACAGTGTTCTAGAGATGGCGGGAAAGCGAGGTAAGGGCATTGTTTATGTCGAAGAGAACGCATACGGTCCCGATGGGCCGTTTTATGAACGACCAGGATGGCAGCAGATTGGAGATGCAGCATCTGGAAGCTCATATGTTACTGGACGATCGCTTGGTTACACTGATGGCACCAGTGTTCTCCCACCTCTGCCTATCTCAGATATGACTACTGGCCTGGTCGGAGCTCTAGGGGCATTGATGGCTCTGCGTGATCGTGCTATCCATGGAGGCTCTTATCATGTGCTGAGCTCCCTCGTCGCCGCTGATACAATCTCTTTGCATCCGGAGATTGGCTTGTATTCGCCGGATGTGGTGCGAAAGAATGCAGAAACTTTCCAGTGGGGTGTAATGAAGCCGTCGCAGTATGTCACCGAGTTGCTCATGGTCGTGCTTAATGGTTGGAAAAAGGTTTACCCCGAGTATCTTGCGGAGAACTCGCCGCTGATGACAAAGTTCCAAAATTCCTATTGGGGCCCTATGCAGCTGCTGAGTCCTGTTGTGAGGCTGGATGATGATGCAGCCACTCCTCATTGGACTTCGCCTCCCGTTCCTCACTGCCATTTTGATTGCAGCATTTCATGGTTGTGATATGATGGCCAGGGACCCAGATCTCGACTCATCTTTGGGACATAGTGTATCGGTGTAAGATCCAACCCATGCCGTGTTCAGGTAGTTCATGAGACTGAGACACTTTATCTTCGCAGATACCTTAATCAGTTGTTCCTGTTACCAGTTCTCACTCCGCATGGATTCAAGTCAGCGTCATCTCCATTCAATATGTGATTTGAATTTCTTCCATAGTAGTGCCACTCAGTCAATAGGCTAGGCTGGGGATTGATCAATTGTCGTTTACTATTGGTATGCGATTCTTTTCATTAGACTGGTTCATCTGCGGAGGGTTGGACCAATGGAAATTACATAGTATTGCAGCGATAGATCATGAACTTTTTTATATCAGTCTCCTTTTGCTGATGATTAAATATTAAAATGCCAACAAACCACGACCGATTCGTATCGTATACCAAGTATATTTGGACTCTGCATCGAATGTTTTTGAGATTCCAAGCAAAGACTTTGTCACCCTTACGAATCACAAAAAGGCAATTGCAGAAGTGTATCTCTAGAATGGTACGGAACCCGACAAATTCTACATTCAAGCCTAGCTTTGAGATATATGCAGGACCTACCGACTTATAATCAATCCACGAACGCTGATCGAGGTATTGATAGCGGCAAGTACTTACCACTAGGCAGCTATACGTATCTATACAATGTATTCCCAGGATTATAATATATAGCTATATATATAGGCCTTTCGCATGGCGGATAAAGTTATTGTTGCTATAATAAATTCATACCAGAGAGCTATTAACTTTTTAAATAATTAATTTTTTAATATATTAATAAAATAACTAAAAGATTTTTATTTAATATAATAATTATAATTATTAAAATAAATAAATAAATAAATAAATAAATAAATAAATAAATAAATAAATAAATAAATAAATAAATAAATAATAAATAA